TTTTTTTTTTTTTTTTTTTTTTAATACCCATTTGACGATACACACATTTGTATGTATGTGTGCGGAGGGTTTGTCTGCACATTTTGCTCTTCACCACGTCACCGGTTAGGTTAACTGGCTCCTTTTTTTTTTTTTTTTTTTTTGATGGTTGGTGGGCAGACCTAATTGTCAGACACGCACGTGCGTAATGTACATACCTACATAGGGGCACACTTCCAATGCCTGCGCGGCACATCCCGAATTAATAACCCCTGCAACTTCACTGAAACAAAATGAGTGACGATTTGTGCCCAAGCGTGGCGTCCTCCGTGGACAGCACGCTGTTCAACGTCCTGGCGGCGGGCAGGGACAAGAGCAAGCAGACGTTGGAAGAAATTAAGGCATTACAAGAAAGGAACAAAAGTCGTATGAAAAATGAGCTCAAGGAATACAAAATTGTTAACAGGCTTATTAGCGAACACATCAGATCCATGCCGAGTCTTCTAACTTCCCTTAGTGATTCATCACAGTTATGCGACACATTGTGGGGGGTGAATAAAGCACAGGGGGGGACACAATCGATGGGAGAGGACGAAGACCTACAACGCATATCTAGTTGGGCAAACAATAGCGCAAGAATGGACACTCCAAATCATCACACCAGGATACAGCTGCAGGAGAGCGCAGAAATCACAGAAAAGGAAAGGGCAGACGAAGATGCAGTAGTTGCCTGGGTCCCCCCAGTAAATGAGAGGGACCAAATTAGTAAAAATGAAGAGCCTCCCCAAAAAGGAGATCCGTATGCGGGATTCCCTTCCAGGATGAACCTACTTCAACTGAAGCAAAAAATTGAACGCCAACGATTGACCCTCTCAGATGTAAAGGACTACCAGACGAATACAATGCTACTTAGCGAGGTGAAGAAAATAAGGCAGCTATCCTTTAGCGATGGAGCAGTGGTAAAAATTAGGGGAATGGGTATGGGCGATCATGAGTCTCATTCTAAATTGACCTTAAGGGAGGAGGCAACGATGTGGCAGACTCCAAATGGAGAACACAAAAATGAGGGCACTAAGGGAGGAGGCATTATTGAGCAACTGTTGATGAGCAGCGACTTCCGTAGTTCTGTGAGTTCCAAGGGGGCGCAGGGCGATCCTCTGGACGACTCGTTCACCACCGTGGCGTTGGATAATGGGCCTAAGGGGGATAGGCCTAACAAGGTGAGCAGTGGAGATGATAATACCAAATTGAGCAGCCCCGATTGTAATGTTCATGTAGAAGCGAATGGAGTGGAGAAAACGAAAAACTCTCTTTATTCAGTCCCTTCGGTTGGAGATTTGGCATCCCCCTCGAGTGGTCAGCTCCACGTGAGTGATGGAGTATCACTAACCCATGAGGGAAGCCAGCGTGGGGAAGGCAGCCAATGTGAAGAAGCCAGCGAAGGTATGGGAATAAGTCGGATATATTCGCAATACTTCACGGGGGAAATAATCGAAGAGGGTAAGGACGGGGAGAGCCTCCCTGATGGCGCATCGTCGCAAGGGGGAAAGGACGCAGAAGGAACTAACAACCACCCCATAGTGACAGAAGAACATTCATTAGGTGAACAAACAGATCATGACCTCGTAGATGTTGTAATCCGATTGTCCAAATTAAAAATTGAAGAAAGATATAAAAACAAGCTGCAACTTTTTAACGATTTTTGTCTGTCCATTTGTGTTCCCATTTCGTATGAGGGGGGATCTGACCGAGTGGGGGAAGAACAACGTGGACAGAGCGCCAGCGTAAATGATTTAAGTGCGTGTAAGATGGAGGCGATGGATGGAGAGCTAGATATGCCTAATTTGGACAGGATAATTATGGAGGGGGAGAAGAAGTATACCAAAGGTAACAGAAGCGGCAAATGTGTAAAAGGCACAAAAGGGGGGAATGGGAAGAAGACCCATGGAGAGCACGCTTCCATCACGTACGATAATTTTTGCCTTAAAAGCAACCATGTAGATGAGAGTTTTATCGAATTTGAGGAAGACATACATTATAAAGTAGAGAGACAACTTGTTGAGAGCGTTGAAAAGGTAGCCATTTTACTATGCGCCAGTGAGTATGAAGAACGAGGAAGGAAAAAAAAAAAAAAAAAAAAAAAAAAATGAACTCATCCAAATTGTATACTTTGCAGAGGAAGAATGATACCATCGTCAAGTCGCTCAATCGACCATTCGTTGTTCCTGATTGGTATGAAATTTTGGCTTATGGTGAAGTTCCTCTTATATGCACGGTTGAAGTGGAAGCACCACTCAGAGAGTTGTGTCTTCCATGGGGGAATTGTTCCGACTTGGGGAAGCGTTCACATGTCATGGTCACTCTGCAATTTGCCATGCTATACTTATCCAAAGGGGAAGATAATTATCATCTCTTCAGAAAGGGGACAGCGTCAGAGGGGCGTTCCTTGACGGAGCCCGCACGACGAGAAAGAGTTGAACCACGAGGGGGTGTAAGTCGTTATGACGAAACGGAGCATGTCATCGGGCAGGAAACTATTATCGAAAAATGTGACAGTAACGGTAGTTGCAACTTAGGTGGGGAAAATGTACAAGGAGAAAACATACTTAGGGTATTCACTGAGAAGGGACAGACAAGCCAACTTGGAGTGTCCTCACAAACCGTACCACATTGCACCACTCGTGATGCGAACGATGTGCTATACATTTATGTACACAAAATGGTGAACCTCTCGAAGAGGCATTTTGACAATATGTCCATCTGTGTAAGGTTTACAAAAGAGGAAAAGTATTACTACAGAAATTTCACCCTGGAGGAGGAAAAAGCATTCGACTTTTTTGTACACTCCAGGAGGAAGTTGAGTGACTTGCACGAGGTGATATTAGAGGTGTGGGAGAACTGCTCTGGCAAGGACAAAAGGAGGGGGGGTCGACAGAGTGAGTATTATGATCAAGAGGAGTGTGGGGACTGCGTTGGAATTGTAAATATCCCTTTGGAGGATATTATACAAAAGGAACAAGTGATATGTTTGGAGAAACAATTGGAGATGACCCATCAGTTTTACGAACATGTTAATTTTATGTTTTGGGTCATTCTGGTGAGAGGGCAGAAGAACAGACGAGAAAATGTACGAGAGTTTTGTGAGAAGTACATTGAAAGTTATGCCAATGAGAGAAAACATTCCTTATCGAATGGGGATAATCACATGGATGAATCACTAACCAGTTCTGTCTTTGCTCCATCCGGAGGAGAGCAGTCTTTGGGGAAGAAATTCACCCCGTCGGATAGCTACCCATCAGGGGAGGCAAAGTCCTGCATGTCCATCAATGAGCAATATTTTATTTATGACTCGGAGAGCCTCTACAACAATGAGTATTACGTGTACGAGTTGCAGAGGGAGGTGTTGCAGAAGGACGTGCGTAGTAGTGCTCTGATCGCCACCGTTATGGAGAGGGCCAGGCGGACTGCATCCAGCGCAGTGAGCGCGGCGAACGTAGCGGGGAAGGACCAACTAAACGATGATCAGATTAGCGGTGATGGAAGGAGTGATGATGGAGGAAGTGATGATGACAGGAGCGAGGATCACGTTGAACAGGGCAGCGGGAGTGTAAGTGGCATGAACAGCGATGGAGATGAGCAGGAGCGGACGCAAAGAAGGGTATTACGCCGAATGAAGAGGGACAGAACAGGCAAAAGGAAAAAAGACCCAGAGATCTACCTACCCATAGAGTTCATCAAAGAAGAACTACTTCTACGAGGAATGAAGGAACACATAGTCCACCTAATGATAGCAGACATGAAAAAAAACACAACCAACAAGAATGACAAATATATTTTAAAAACACACGTTGAACAATACATAGATAAAATATTTACAAAGTGGGAAAAATTAACAAATAAATTATTCATTCGAAATAAAAAAAAAATGCTCCTAAATGATGTGTGTGAATATTTGGACAATCTCTACATTGATGACGATAGGTACATTAGCAAAGAAGAATTTTTCATTTTTTTTCAGGAGGTCGGAATTGTGTTTGTGGACTCCACTGTGTTCGATGAGTTGTGCTTACTCTTCCTTGACAGGGAAAGGGAAGAAATTTATTTCTCAGCTTTCTCCTCCCTGATTATAAGAAGAGGAGTCGAGGAACTCAAAAATACTGTGTATGGTTATGACGTTTTGTTGAGGCTTTTTGCATGCTTCTACGAAAACGAAGTGACAATAGAGAACCTAGAAAATGAATTAGTAAAAATTAACCTGCAGACAAAAAATTATTATTCAACGAGGATTAAAAGGTATTTCTCTTCCGAGGCACTGAAGAGGAATTCATCGATATATCAAGGTAGTGCTGAAGAAAATTTGGGACGCTTCTTAAAGGAGGAAGAAAATGTGTGTGCCTGCACCTCTCTGCTATTTTTACACTCCATCAGATTTATGCTGACTAGGTTTAACAATAGCGATTTTTCCAACCAGGATTTATTTTTCCTGGTGAAGTATCTCTTGCAGACGCAGTGCAACTACTCGAGGACAGATGTTCGCGTCCTCGTAAATGTTATCAAGGGCATCGAGTCCGTTAACTTGATCTACTTCTTGGCCCTCTACCACCTATACGTGCAGCAGCACACCTCGGGGGGGGGCCTCGACGGAGGCGCGTACAGCCAGCGCAGCGAGCGCAGCGAGACATGTCCAGGGGGTGAACATAGCGAAGTGGAAGGAAAGCACTTCCCCGTTTGTGACAACATGGGGGACAGCACAGACGAAATGGTTGGTGACGATATGGTCGTGTCTTCCCCCTGTGGAGGGGCTCAGGCGGAAGGTGAGGCGCCCGGCCAGGTAGGAGGCACATCTAGCCACGAAGCGGAACATGAAGCCGACTACGAATATGAGCGCGGCGACGAGGGAGGGCAAGTGACCCCCTTCATGCTGAAGAAAAGTGACAATGAGGAACATCTCCTCACCGGGGACCCCGATAAGAGCAGTGAAAAGTTTCATGGGGGATCCCTTGTACAGGAGGAGAATAGCCCCAGGGGGAAGGGCCAAACGGATGCCCAAAATTATGATGATGGGAAGGAACCTTTGGGGGAGACTCGTACTAGCATAACAGAGACGCAAACGAATGGCAGCTTGGCAAGTTGTTTAAATGATTCAGGAGAGGACAAAACAGGTGGCCACACCACTGCAAAAAGAACATCCAATGATGCACCCTCAAATGTAAAGAGGCAAAAACACATCAGCGTAACGAACACGTCCTTTTGCAACGCCACAAATGAGAAGAAGAATAGCAATAGGCCAAGGAAAGACATAAGGAAAGGTTTCAAATACATAATCATCATTCTACATAGTAAAATTGTTAGTGGGCTTATAACTGTGGAATACATTTCGGAGTGTTTGTTTCGCTACTTTGGAAGAAAAGTAATGAATAATAAGAATGAACAGAATGATAAAGTAGAGTTGCTGATGCTATTCGATATGCTGGGTCTGTACACGTCTTATGAGATTGTCTTGAAGGTACTGAATTGGTATGCAAAAGAGGTAATTACAAACAGGTTGGAAGAAAGAGGAGTGGTGGGGGAAAAACATTTTGAGCGACACCACCATGGGAACATCTCTTTGCTGCAGGACTTCACTGCCATCAATCACGAACATAACATAAAGAGGATTATGGAAAGGTACTACCTTAACGAACAAATTGGAGGAAACATATTTTCAGGTAGCACACTGGAAGATTTTTTTGCTCTCTTAAAAGAAAAAGACATAGGTATACAGGCTTTCTCCAAAAAGAACATTTTCACGTATAGCGATTTTTACGCAACAGTTGAGAATTTAAATTTAGATTTCTCCAGAAATTATGTGCGTCTTTTGTTTTCTAATTTGTTAACGTACGATTTGACCTCTTTCACTAGCGTAAATAGCAAACTAATATTTTACGATTGCATGGAGGCTTATTGGCTGAACTGGAACAAAGCCCACTTTGAGTTTCACGGGGGCGAGGCGCATGGAGCAGGGCATGCGGAGCAGAGCGCGAGGACCCTCTTGGATAGCGTCAAGCAGAGGAGAAAAGAGCTAGACATTTTTAAGAAAACAAACCAAGCGGGGTCTCCAAACAGAGTCAGCTATACCCCCCAGAAAAACAGATTAGTACTTGTGCGCGAAGAGTGGGGCACGTCCGTGGAGAAGAGTGTGCCAGTGAGGGATCCGACATCGGGCATGACCCACACGTTGTCAACGCTCCCCCTGTACAGTTTATTCTTTTACCTTTCTGAGAATGGCATTTTAAGAGGAGAAGAACTAATAAAGCATTACTTTTTTATGAACATGTTCAGGTGCGAAATGAACTCTGTAAATGTGGATGATTACGCAAACGATACTTATACGTTTTACGATTTTTGGCAAATTTGCAAAGACAAATGTGTGAGTCAGTGTGAGTATAGCGATGATGAGTCGTTTAGGGAGGACCTCCTAAGGCTGATTGTGATCATAAATGGGGACCGCCATAATAGTAAAGAGGCAATGCGGAAGGGACACAGTGGAGGGATGGGCGCCACGGGTGGACCTACCATAGCGAAATCGGCCTCCTCACTTCAAACCCTACTGAAGGGAAAGACTCACCTATTTTCGAAAAATTTCAAAAAGAATATGAGCATTTTGCGGATGGCTGTGGAAAACCAGGGTAAGGGGATCACCGAGGTTTCGCACTTCCCACTGGGGCCCTGCCTGGGACGGAGTCGTAGCGCATTAAGCCAGAGTGCCACCAGTTTTAACGCCAATTGGAACAGAAGCGGCAGCTATGATGCATCTTTGGGGAGACGAACTGGGAGCACGCACACAGGGGACGCACCACTTGTGCAGTTTCTCAAAAGGAATAAACATGTGGTAGAGCACATCCGGGAATTCTTTTATCTGTTTGTTTTCTGTTGCAAAGTGGCGAACAACGAGTCGGTAGATTTGTCCTTTCACGAGCAGGAGTGGATTTTCTATCGGGGGAAATTGAAGGCTCACTATTCACAGAGGGGGGAGAATAAACACACGAACGTTCCTGCTGATGCTGCAATGAGGAGAGAGAATGACAGACTTAGTAAGTCCCCATTTTTATATAAGGAAGTACGCATATGCTGTGAGGAGAAGAAATTTACGAGCCAAGAATACAAGGGGGTGGTGTATCCATACCTCCTTCTACTTTGCGATTTGTTGAAAAAAATTGTGCACATTTATAAAGACGCACATGCTGCTTATGTGAAAAAACGTTTTGTTCTTAATTATGAGGAGAAAAATGCGAGGATAAAATTTTTGCATCGTGTGGAAAATATTATGACCAGGTCAGGCAGTTTTGACTCCAAAGAGTGGAATAAAATATACAGCATATTTGAAGCGTTAGACATCAGAATAAGTGACTTCCTTTTAAATTTGTGGAACTGTTTGGAGGTGAATAATTATATCGTAAGACTCCCAAACGGAGTTACCCTTTTCAACGATTGCTATAATATGATGTGGGATTTGATGAGGCCCAAGGGGAGTGGCCGTTCTACCCTGTGGGGACATGTGCCTATTGGTTGGAAGAGAAACTTTCCAGGGAAGAGGTGCACCCTCCTGGGGAGGAACAATGTTAATCATGATTCTGATGAATGGAACGATCTGTACGTAAAGAATGTGAAATATGTGATTGCCTTCAACAAGTTGGTGCTGTCCGATGTACGGGGGATCAATCGGAGAAGCCTACTTCACAATAAAAACATCACACAGGACAAAATTTTCGCAACGCACATGACGAACTTGTACGTGAGGGCATTATTTAATGAATGCATTTTGACAGGACTGAACATCAACCGATTATTCGCACATATAGATAAAAAAGACTCTTTCATTTATGTCCTTTCCAAAAACTTTAATCATATTTTTTCTGAAGAAGACATAGCATTATTTGTGAAGAAGTACTCGTTCGTAGTTGATATGACATCACTCCACTTGAGAAATTCTTGCCACAATTTTTTTTCAACTAAAAATTTTTTAAATGACCTGTACAGGCAAGGTGAATATTACAATTCGGAATTGAAGGGAAAGCTGTTCAGATTTTTTTTTAAAAATGAAAATGTATTTTTTTGCAAACACCACCAGTGCATTGTACATGCCAATTTTGAACCAATGGATAAACACCATTTGATATCATGTGATAAGCTCAAGAACATTTTGTCCCTGCATGGTTTGTTTCTTTCCTGGGCTGAGTTGTATGACTTTTTCCAGCCGCTTAACAAGTTTTGCGTTATTTACGACTCCAAGAAGTTTGAGCTGCATGAGGCGGGGAAACCGGGCCCCTACATCTTGAAGGCGTACATCAACATGCCTAATTTGTTGCGCCTGGCGGGGGAGGCGGCACACAGGGGGGGGGTGCGGCAGGGAGAGAAGGAAGAGTACCCATCCCAGGATAATCTCAAGAGAGAGAAGGACGTGAAAAAATATGAATCAAAAAATGATTTTCACAAAAAAGACAGATACACTGAAAAGATGCCTGCAAAGGACTCCCACTCGTGTTCTGTCCTCTTCAGAAGTCGAGTCCGCTCAGGGAAGGCCCCCTCTGAAAAAGAATCACTGGCAAAGGCAACACCAAGGGGGGAAAACGAAAAGGAGGAAGAACAAAAAAAAATACTTCCCCTTGACAGTGAAGCGGTGTACACAAATTTAGCAAAAACGAAAACGCTACCCAAGACATACATTTACCACTTTCGTTTTAACAGACTAACCATGGGAAGAATATTATTTTTTTTTTTCATCAAGCTAGCCAATTTGAAATCGAAAAGCGACCTGACACATGGGGAAATGTATTATGGGATCAAACGAGCAGGGAAAAAAGATATCGTAAAGAAAGAAATGAAAAATGCATGCCAGCTGTTACTCAACATGGAAGAAACCAAATTAAACAGCATCATACCGGATGACTTTGTTTTGAAAAAAGAAGAATTTCTAAATGGGGTTCTTTTAAATTTATTTCTCCTCAGAGATAGATTGAACGTCTTATTCGGAGAGGATAATTCTTCACCAATTCATGTGCATCAGTTTGTTCATTTTTTCGACACGGAGAAAGGTGCAGTCTCCTTTTCGAATTACAAATTTGTGTACAATTTTTCCTACGAATGGATAAATCGCATGCACATGAAGGATGAATATGTGAGCAGGGAGTGCTGTGAGGCGTTGCTGGCAGAGTTTCTCTTACCTAGTGTAGTTGATGATAAGGATGGGGAGAAGGGAGAACTCCCTGTCAATGAGACAGAGGTGCATGAAGCGTCTGAGAAGGAATCCAATGTGAAGAAAAAAAAAGAAAATTTTCAAAACGGAGTGGAGGACGCAGTGCTGCATGAGCAGCTTGTGTGTCGCAGCTTCCAGGACAGAGACGTCACTCCGCGTTACGCATTAAAAGACAACCAAGAAAATCCCCCAGTGAGGGACCCCCTTTGGAAAGAGGAACTCGTGAAGATGTTCGAAAAGAATATAAAAGGTAAATGGAAGAAAATACTCATGCCTATTTTTCACCGCAAGGAATTCTATGCACATCGATTTAGGATTATAATAAAGGAATTTACAGGGTTGAAAAATTTTGTGCGTAAAATGGAAAGCGAAAAGTGGACAAGGGGAGAGTCCAACGTGGAGAACAAATCTATCAACATGAACCAGCCGAGTGCTCCCATCTCACTCAGCTATTTTTGTTGCTTCGCCATGAAAGAAATTGTGATAGGAAACATCTGCACAGAGAGTGCTATGCCGCTTGGAGCAGAAACAAAAAGAGGTGGCGATTCCTTGCATGTCAATTACCTCTTCGAGCACACATTTTCCACCATAAAGGAAAAAGACATAGTTACGCTCTTCGAACATAATAAAAAAATCTTCAAATTAAAATTGTTCTGGGAAGGAAGTATCATAGCCGAAGCAGATTTACACATTTTGGAGATGTTTTCCATTATGAAGAATGAGGAAAAGAAGAGCCACAAAATTTTGTGTTTCATTCCTACCGATTCGGATAATAAGAACATTATCTTTTTAGATGTAGATATGTATTATGATTGCACGAAAATGAGTTCAGGTGATCCCATTTTTGAAACTAGCCATAGAGTGGTTAGCCCCAATTTCTGCGTTGAACAGGTAGCAGAAGAGAGCCCCCATGAGGTGGACTTGGCAAAATTAAATTCGTCCATCATGCCTGCGTCTGAAAAAAGAGCTTCTAATAAAAAAGAATTAATAAAAATGGCCGAATCTGGAGTGAGCAATAATTGGTGCGGTGACAAAGCGGCTCATCGTACAGCTCACTGTACACATGCGGAAGATGACTCCACCTCGATGAACAGAAGGACGAATTGCACTCTCATGGACAGCCGGCAGAGAAGAGACGGATTGACCTCCTCACCTGTGGTGCACCCACCAATTACAAACGGGTTCACCCAAATGAATCGCCAATACAGCGGCGAATACGTTTGGTTGAGAAATGGCCAGGAGGTTCATTTGGCAAGTGAAGGGGGAGGAAATATCAGACGTGGTGACGACGCGGATGAGAAGAAGTGTGACGAGACGAAGTCGATCGTCCTGGTTGATAGCACACTGGAAGGACACGCGTGGAGGAAGAATTCCAAGGGGAAGCACAGCAGCAAGGCCGAGTACCAAATAAAAGATAAGGACAGAAATGTGAACCTGTGGAAGAATGACACGAGCCACATGTACCTAACCATTAACTGGGTAATCCTTCCAGCGTGCTTGATTAGAAAAATGCTTAACAGACTAAGCGGGAATGGAAATGCAGACCGCGGGGGGGACGACGTGTTTGTAGCTGTTTACGTGGAGGTGCATCAGTGGATGGACCCCTCAGGTGGGAATGGCAGTAGCGGCGACGGGACATACGAGCTTCTCTCCAGGTCCATCCCGCAAATGGTCAACTGGGATGAGGGGGGCGCCTCCCCCAAGGGTAACGATGAAGGGTTGGACAGTTGGTGTGAAGATGGGGCAGTGCGCAGACAGAGCAGCCCAGCATACGGTACATCACCTGATCGAGGGAAAGAAGAAGGAGGTAGGGGGAACCTCCACCAAGTACCGGTGAATCCTCGTGAGCAGACGCATCCCTCCAGGGAAGAATCACAATCAGCAAACAAGCAACTAGTGAAGGAGGGCGAGGAGGAGGAGAGAGAAAAAAAAAAAAAAAAACATTCGTCAGGAAAACAGTTAAGCATACACAACTTGAAGATAAAGCACAGGGAAGTTATCAAATCGGGGAGTAGGCCATACGTGGAGGGGAAGATAATTGTGAAGGCTTTGATTTCACTGAATCACATTTCTGAGGACGTCACGATTGGGGAGCACTTTTTTAAAATAAAAAATCTTTTACACGAAAATGAGGATGTTGTATTTTGCTGCGAGAGTCTGTTTCATGGTGTCTATGGAGAGAAGGATGCACTTTTTGAGGATGAGAAGGAACGGAAAATGCTTCTGGACAGCTCAGATGTAGGGATGGGTGCTGCTGACCCGGTTCTAATGAAAAATAAAAACGAAATGGTGAGATATCCCAAGGAGGAAGTTGAAAAGTTAGCAATTGTGCCACATGTAGATGATGAAAAAAGGGAGAATGAAACGATCATTGGGAAAAATTCGTCTATAGAAAAAATAAAAAAAGAAAATTCTATCGTATTACACTTCGGTAGCGGACATGCGGATGGGGGAGACGAAGGAGACGGACGAGACGGAGAAGACGGAAGGGAACCTCAACACAAACAACTCATGGGCTATGTTTCATTCGAATATGAAATGAAAAGGACAGAAGATGAAAGGAATTACGAGAAGAGAGATTATATTGCCATACCCAATTTTGTGAAAATTTATTTTCTAAAAAAAAATAGAAATAATGATAATCTACTGAACGAAAAAAATAACATGTTCAGAAAAACAACTTTGGAAAAATTATTTGGGGAAGTCTTGAGGAGAGTCCACTACAGGAAATATGTAAAGGTAGAGACTCTCTTGAATGCACTGACTTATTCAGCTTACTCCAATTACATGGACTACATTATCAGACTGTTCCGACATTATGTGGGTAGAGACACGTCTTTATTTTTTCCTGTGGAGAATATTTTATTAATTTTAGCGTTAAGAAAATTGTCCTCTCATTTTTCCAACGTGATGATGCATTTGTGTCAAGAGGTCTATCAGTGTAACGGAGATTTCAATTCCTTGGGTGTGGTCGAGTGGTCTCACTTCGTAAAGTGTATGTTGAAAGCCCAGTGTGGTTCCTCCAAAGGGGGGGACGTAAGAATAGGTAGTAGAAACACTAGGAGTGTTAAGGGGAAAATGATTGTAGTAGGAGCCAATCAGGATGATCCTTCTCAGCAACTTCATCATAAACGCAACAAACGGGGACAGCAAAAGACGAACCTATTTTCTTCAACGTCATCTTGCATGTCTTCCTTCTCTGCCTTCACCAAGGGCGATACAGAAAATGATGCATCTTCTACCGCTTCCTTAGCAGAGCGACACCGGGATGGATTAACTCCTCCACGAGTGACACACAGGATGAAGGGAGTAAACCCCCTCAGTCAGAGAGACTGGTGTTTGTTGAACCATTGGGATAACTGGCACCTTCACAAAAACGGCAGAAGTTGTTTCTTCCTCTTGTTGTTCCTAAATGATATGATCATTTTTTACCAAGAGAATAAACACGCAGTGAAGAGTGATGAACTGGACATATCGCTAGCCCACACGTGTGGTCGTGCTCGGGTGAAGAACAAAAAGTGCCCTCTGCACAGGTCACACCATTTGAGTGGACTGGCAAGTGGTTTAACGAGGAGACGTGGACTTTCAAACAGGGTGGGGTGTGGCCATGTCGGAAACCATCTCAAGTCTGTTCCTCGTTATGCACACAGAAGAAGAGCCACCCTAAGCAAACACAACAGTAGTGATGCGTCGGTTGAAGAGATGTGCAGAAGGAGTACCAGTGCTGCAGATCTGCTTGCACGTGAACAAAAGGGTAAAAAGAGGACCTCCATATATCATTACAACTTGTTAAGTGGTGAACCGAAGGTCGCTCCAGTGAAGTATCCAAGTGACGAGGAATGCACAAATGGGGTTAACGCATGTACAGTTGTAGGTAGGAAATTCCACAGGGATCACAAATGGAACCAGTTATATTTCTTCCAAGGTAAAAATGAAGACATGCTCATGAAAATGGACAGAACGAATCTGGTAAAAGTTGACCCTTCTCCTTATAGACTTTACGTCAAGGTCAAGAGATTACACAACGCGGGTACGTTAGTTACGCAGAGCATGGCAATGTCATTTCAAGTTGTGTTGAGTAATTATGATTGGATCCAATCGGGTAGTCATATGCTGCCCTATTTTGTGAACCCCCAAGATGGGTATATCATAAATAAAATTCAGGCGGTAAGCAAGCCCATTTTGAATGACCCCCATTCGGGTGTCAACACGGCAGTTGTTTTGGCACTTCCAACCAGAGCGGAGATGAACAGACTCTACAACGCGAGGAGTACAGAGAATGTAGAGAACGTTCCGGACCTTCTACTCAAGGACAACATGAAAGGGCAGCCATCCTATAGTCTCTTGAAAATGTGCTTGCAGAACTTGTCTCTGCAGATATGCTTTTATGACGTCCCATTTTGGAGCGACTCCTTGTCGGATGAATCACATGCCAATGATGAAGCCCTGGGGTGTAGTCTTTACCCGGAGGGGCAACACAAGGGGAGAACGAGGAAGACGCTCGTTGCCAGCACGTTCATTCCGCTAAATGTTCTTTTGAAAAAGGATAAGACCAAGGTTAGGGCGCCCCTGGTAATTTCCCCCTTCTGCAGCAGTAGGGCAAGACGAAGAGATATGGAGGTGGAAATTCTCCTCAAATATGACAAGTTTGACACACGCGGGGTGCAACACAAAAGGGTCACACAGAGGGGTGGGCAAAACGACGTTCAGAAAATGTTGCACAAAAATGGGCAGACGAAATTCATCCAAGTGCGACCGATTCAGGAGCAATCCAAGTGGCTCAAGTCCAAGCTAGAGAGGTGCGCGCAAGGGGACGCCCATGGGAAGCAGAACCCACCTGCATACGGCATCTTGGCTGACGGGTTCAATATCGACTCATCGGTAGAAACACAATCGGGGCTCCGCCTAAGTGACGACTTTGATCTAGCGGGGAGACATGACTCGGTTGACTTGTCTAATATTCCCCTGCTGACCCTTCCAAAAATTCCCCCGCCCATATCGTAAGGGCACACTCTCATGTGGCAGAGGGATTTTATTTTCTTCCTCCACAACAGCCACATGATTTTCATTGTCCCCACTTTGCGGCTGAGTGAGTTGCAGGGGCGCGCAGAGATGGTCGCGCAGCGATATTGGCATGATCACTCGTGTCATCATCGAAGTCATTTGTTTTGGGGAAGTTTTCACCCTATGCACCTCATCAAAATGCATCTGCTTATTTGTTTGCTCCTCTCATTCGTTGGGGTATTGTTGCTACTGCACATTTTTACTTTTTTTTTTTTTTTTTTTTCGATAGCTTAACCATTCCATGGGAGGTGACACACATCTATCATGTTAGTTCTTATTGATAATGGGTTTGTCTTTCCAAACAGGTCACCTCGGTGAGTAAACCCTAAACCGTGAACCCTACACACAGCCGCTAACATACAAAACCTATCTCCTATCTTCCCCATACGCATGGGACATCTTCTGGTAGTACCTCCTGTCCTTCATCTTTTCAGTAACAGAATCGATCACTTTTCTCATTTGATCCTTCCTGTCCTCGGAGAGATGCTCCTCATTATGACAGTAGACGCACTCATATGACCTTCGCTTGCAAGTTCCCTTCATGTGCCCAATACATGGGTAGCATATTCCTTTATAGTGCAGGAGCTTCGATGGATGGTAGGATGAGTGAATATCTGCATGATCCCTATTGTGGCAATTTGGGCACCGGTTCCTTTTTAAGCATCCATTATTACCAGAGAAGAAAAAGGTGCAGGGGTGACAGACTCCCCTGTCGTGTGCATCCCTTTCGCGGTAGCCGACCTGTTTGACGTAATGGAAATGCTTCCCTGGCTGGCGTTCCACTTTGGCGCGTTCGCCTTTGATAATATCCTCTTTGTAAACGTCCTCTTCGGAGATCTCTTCTCTGGCGCGATCCCCTTTTGGGTGTGTCCCTTTCCCTTGTGTCGCATCTCCCCCGTTTTCTCCATCTCCTGTTTCCCAACTCGTCTCACGAGCATGTGCCTCGTTGTGGCAGTACACACATGCATGCATGGGTCTGGTGCAATCCCCCTTGAAATAGTTCGCACACGGAACACACAATTTCTTAACATGCAGAAGCCGAGAGGGATGAAACAACGTATGTGGATTCCTATGATCTTCGTGGTGACAATTTAAGCACCTTTTTCCATTTGAGCATCCGTAAAAGCCTATAAAATAGTAGACGCATGGATGGCAAGCTCCCTTGTCATGTCTACTCATGAGCTTTTGACGACCTGATAAATTGTAAGTCCCTGGTTTTATAGGTTCCTGTTTCCTTCTCCAAGATTTGGCTTCTTCCTTGTCGGTGATGACTTTTCTTTTTTCTGACTTTCCTGGGTCGGGGGAGCGACTGCGGTGGCTATCATCGCTTTGGCTTCCACACAGTTGACTGCTTCCTCTACTGCTTGCCCGCTCAGGGGAGGAATACCTCCTAACGTGTCTCACCTCATGGTATCTACCATTTGGCATTTTTTTGTCCTTAGCTACATCCTTCATGGAGCGCCAATTATCATCTTCACTAGCTTCCTTTATTTTTTTCATTATATGTTTCGGAGTTCTTCTTTCTGTTGCTTCTTTTTCCTCCTTTGTCGAATTAGGGTTACCATTGCTGGGATATTTTTTCCCCCCTCTGGAAGACAAGGTACCATTTGTGCCTCCCACCTTGGAGTCCTCTTGCTCATCTTCACTCTTATTGGAGAGGGACATTTTCTCCTCAGGGTGCGGTTCATTTGTTGTAATTGATTTTTTATGAGAATCGGATAAAGCACTTTTGTTTGGTCTGTTCGAATTTATTTTTGTGCACATTCCTGATGGAGAGCGATGACCTTTGTGGAGTTTTTGTTTCGACGCAAGTGTGGAGAGACTCGAGCTGCGTGTTATACTTTTTGACTCCAATGTGGATCTACTTGAGCTGAGTACCTGTCCCTTTGGCTTTATAGCGGAACGACTTGCGCTGCGCCACTGCTGCTTCGACCCTGAGGTGGATTGACTCGATATACTTCTCCTGCGTGCTCTCCCGTTGGCCACTTTTTCCATGTCTTTTCTGTGTGACTCGTCATGACAGTAAGCACAGTGGTCCATTTCTCTTGGAGTCCCAGTTTGGCTATTTTTGCAAGTGCCCCTAAAATATTCTACACAAGGTTTGCACTTTCTGATTCTGTGGAGCATTTTGTAATAGCACAAGTAGCTGGAGGTATTGCGGTGCTCTTCATGATGGCAGTTTCTGCATTGGAGAGAGTAGTTGCATCCAGTAGTAAAATAAAACGCGCACGGAATGCACCTATACGCATTGTGTTCTTCTATCGAGTAACCACCTGTTAATTCTCTTGTCATCATTTTTTGTCTTCTCCACGTTTTCCCCTCCACATGGTTCCAATTGGAGTAGCCATTCCTGGAATACCCCTTGTCATAGCCGTGCCCTTCAACCCTAACATATCTGCTAACATATCTGCTAACACCTCTGCTAACACCTCTGCTAACACGTGTACTAACACCTCTACCAGTATCTCCACTAAGAACCCTCGGCCGCTGGGCATTATGCGTTGGTACGTCCTGAATAATTTTCACTCTGCTGGTGGGCTCCTGAATTTCAATGTCCTCCTCGCCCTGGCCCTCATCATGAAAATTGCGAATGTCGTCCAGGGGCAATTTGCTCAAACTCTGCAGATCGTTCAAATGATATTTTGTTTCCTGCGTGGATAGGGAGTCCACTCGCTTGTTACTCGGACTTGTGCATGAAGGTGGGCCCTCTTCGAAGGAGCCATCCGCGCCCTCGTTGTTGCTGCATTTTTCTACATTCGTGGAACCGCTGCTTTCTCCGCAGTCGTATTCCTTCCCGCAATGGCTTCCATTTTGCTCCTTATAAATGTGCTCGTCATCCACGTTCACCTCTTGACCGTGCGGATTGGTCATCCCTTCCTCCACAGTGCCACTACAGCCATCCCTATTTTTATATTCCTTCCCGCCTGCATTGTCCTGTTCTATATTTTGTTCAGAATTCATTTTCGATTTTCCAGTTATCAGATTTTTACTTTCTCCTTTTGTGTCCATCTCTGTGCATGCGGCAAAATGGGAAGAGGTGTTCTCCATCTTAAGGTGCAAATTTGTACACACATTTTGTTCTTCTCCTTTTGAACAATCCGCTTCATCATATACGGGTTGATGTCGCATTCCTGTTTGTTCTGTGCTGTCGCATATGTGGTGTGTACCAATGTCACTCTGCTCGTCTGGGTACTTGCTTGAAGCACATTTTGCATCTTTATGTTCTTCATCCTTCTTATAAAAGGGTGAGATATCCTTGTCACACAAATTATTTCCTAAGTGATGAATGTGCTGTTTGGTATAAGTTGCGAGTGATGGTGTTTCCATTTCTGTATCGTTTTTTTTCTGTGCAAGGTCCTCTTTGTGCATCCTTCTTCTACCAGTGTGTGCATCTTTGCTGTGACTTCTTGAGTGTGCATATCTTTTGGAGGATTCATTTACATGTGTACTTCTCTTGTGTGAGTTTTTTTTTCTTTCATTGCTTTTGGCATCCATGTTTGGGGGGCGGGAGTGTGTCCCCACGCTGCTGCGCATTCGGTGACTGCGTCGATGATCCTGTCGATCTGCGCTGAGGTTAGAGGCGTGCGCACCGAAGGAAGACTCCGCGATGATGGATACCGAATCGGCCACGTTGGCCAAAACCTCCACATTATCCCCTGGTGCCGCTTTCCCTGGTTGATGCTCGTCGGAAAATTCCCCCCTCAAGGACGCTTCGCACACTCCCAGGACGTTCTTCATTTTGACGCCGTAGGATATATGGTCTGTGTCGTGGCAATACGCGCTGTCCTCCTTACAGGGGCAGTTTTCCTCGTTAATATTGGGACACACTTGACACAGGTTCCTATCATGCAGGTAAGTCATAAAGTATAAGCTAGAGTTTTTCTTTTTGTGTGCCTCACTGTGGCAGTCTGGGCAGTTGCCATTTTCCATGCAGCTGGTTTGTGCATCCCCCAGAAGGAAGTAACTGCTACATGGTTTCTTCCCTTGTGTATCGCACTCAGGACAAGTTTCCTTCGTTTTTCGCGCCCCATCAGTGCCATTGTCTCTACCTTCTTCAACACTGTCTCCCCCCTGAATGTCGTTATACATGCACATGAGTTCCTTCTCCATGGTAACAAAAAGGTTTCCATCAAAGCTGTTGCTCTTCCCTTGTTGAAGACTGTAAAGTAACTCCTTCGTAATCACATCGGTGTGTTTTTTCTTTTCGTACAGATCATTCAGCATGCGAAAATATGATTGTCGTACTTTGGAAGGTAAATGTTCAACGGAATGACAAAAACGGCACTCATTTTGGAGGGAGCAAAAACCATCTCTATATAAGTATGAACAGACTTTACATTTATTTCTCATGTGTAACATTTTGTGAGGATTCAAATCGGAGTTCTGATCCGTGTGACTGTAATGATGGCACCACTTACACTTGATGCTGTTACTACACAAACTATTGGGGCTGCTAAATTTGAAGCAAGGGACACATAAGCCATATATGTGTAAAAATTTCTGAGTAATGAACAGAATAATTTCTTCTTCTTCATTTAAGTGAAAAATTTCCATTAACGATTTTGTGATGGTACGTCCTTTCGCTCCATAGAGGTCATTAAAATTGGTTAAAACGCTGTTTCTATGTTCCCCTAGTTGTGAATATTCTTTCAGTTCGCATAGCTTTGTTATTGTGGTAGTGCCATTTGTTCCTTCTAAAGGTGCTTTACTATTATGCGATGTTTTTTTTCCTCTGTAGGAGGGGTGTCTTCCTCGGTGTGGGCTTCTTCCTCCATGAGGGGGTCTTCCGCCCCCTGGGTGGAATCTTCTTCCACTGTAAAGGCTTCTCCCTTCCCACTGCGCTTCGATCCCCTTCGCAGCGGTATCCATCATTTGCACCTCCCCCTGAGAGCCCAAATCACATTTTGCGAATTCGTCCGAGAGGCATTGTCCCTCCATCGTTTTGCACAACTCTGTAAAAGGTCCTGTGTGTGCACCTGGCCAAGTTAGAAAAAATCTCAAATCTGCATAAATATTCTAATATCAACTGCAGATTGTGGGGGATTTAAGAAGCAGGTATACTGTGCTAGTCAGCAGGATTGCTGTTTTTTTTGTTTTTTTTTTTTTTTTCTTCCACTGCTTTATGCACATGTGGGAAGGCACTCCTTTCGAGTGATTCCTCCTACTTAAACACGCACGGCGGCAGAGAAACGAGAACAGTTCGCGCCCTTCCCTCCGCGCTGAATACACAGAAAAGTGCTTCTTCCAAATGGAGAGATCATGAAACGCTACACAGTCGCGTGGGGGATAGTTCCCTCTTCGCAACAACGTTGTGGCTACGCGTGGAGTATTTTGGCAGAGTCACCCCTGTGGGTGTTTGAAGTTATGCAAGGGACAAAAATGGGGGTAATAAATTTGTAGGTATGCAGAAATGTAGGTATGCAAAAATTTGAGTAAGAGAAAATGTGAGTGCGAAAAAAAAATGTAGGTATACAGAAATGTAGATATGCAAAAACGTAAGAGGCGTGATGGTAAAAAAAAAAAATGCCCTCCCCTTTGTGCACAAATTGGAAATACACGTACCTGCAAATCGCTTGCATGCATACCATTTCTGCCTTAGAATCTTCACCTGTGGCTTTGCATCTCATTTCGTTTTCACTTAATGATAGCAATTTCCACTTCCATGCTTATGTTTCCGTGTGCCTCTTTTCTAAACCCGTCAGAAACTTTCTTACACGAGAAAGACGTTAATTTTTGGAGAGCCCTGCGGTGCGCGCTCACATGTTCAGCCCACAACAAATATATTTTTTCCTTTTTTTTTTCCACCCCCCCTGGGTGTTATTTTTTTTTTTCTGTACCAGAATTATAAGGTGCGCACAAATTGCGGAGGGACGCACCTTGCCGGTATGTCGTTTTATTTAGGGAGGTTCGTTCTTACCTTCCCTTTTCCATTTTACACTTTTTACGCCATCTTGGATTACTCCTCTGTTGAGCCAACTGCACCCGCTTGAACGGGATTAATTGCACAACAGTAAACGCAACATGGCCGATAAATTTTTTTGGGGAGTGTGGTGCTTTTTTTTTCGCGTACACTTGAGAACACGTGGTGGGCTATTCCAAGTGCTGCATTTTCTGCCCGGCAATGTGCAGCACCCTTTTCTGTGCATATAAAATAGTACCTTTTGAAATACGTGACAACTACAGCTGCAGCGGAGGGTGGTGGTGGTTCCCCTTGTGCGTTATTTTTGGATGTATACATGTGAAGGACACGCACATGCGTGATTAGGTATACACAGCTTCATACATATAAGTAACCTATACGCACATACATGTATCATGCATACATGTGCACAGTTAGCCGAATGCACAGCTGAAATGTGTAGGCGTAGTGGGGGGAAAAAAAAGGTCTGGTGAGGTGGGGCGAAACACTTGCAAAAAGGGAAGTGACCTATACGATGGTGTGACCTACAACGATGGTGTGACCTATAACGATGGTGTGACCCATTTGGCTATGTACAGGTGCTTTGCCCACTCCAGGAGCGCGAAGCAAACCATTTATATAAAACGGGAGTCCAACTCCCTTTTCTTTGTTTAAAAAAAAAAAAATGTACTCCGCGGGGACGTACATAAAAATGTAGCTTCCACTTTGCGAGGAACTTCTCCTTTCGGGGCCGAAAAAACGAGGAGAACCTTAGTCACCCCCCTGTGGGATAACATTTTGGGGGGAAATGCAAAAAAAAAAAAAAAAAAAGTGCGTATAAATGTGCCCAGGAGTGGATACCCTTTTTGTGTATCACTCCGAACTGGACAGTACTTTTATAAATAGGACTAAGCACATCATCCTGTGTAGGGGCCGCAGAAAAAAAAAAAAAAAAAAGGGGGAAGCACATTTTTGCATGTATAAAATGTCACGCATGCTACTTTTTTTTTTTTTTTTTCCTCTTTTATATAATACCTACACAAGTGTGTGGACGACCCCACATTTAGCTGGCCATCATTTTTTGTGCCTCATACACCACTTTATGCTCGTCGGGCATGTAAAAAGGTTCGTACACATGCGGAAATGGAGTATCATATCCGCAGACTCTTCTAATTGGGGTGTGCAAATTGTAAAAGCATCTCTCCTGAATTTTGGCAGCAATTTCAGCTCCAAAGCCGTTGGTCACTTGAGCTTCGTGCGTTATTAAAAGGCGTCCTGTTTTTTCCACCGACTTCTGAACAGTTTCAATGTCCCACGGAATGATCGTTTGTAAGTCGATAACTTCACAGTCAATGTTGTGCTTGGTCAGTAAGGTATCAGCTGCCTTCTTCATTTTATGTACTAAGGACCCCCAGGTAACAATAGTCAAATCGGTACCTTCTTTTACTACATCAGCTTTGCCTAGCTCTAATTCGTATGCGTCCACGGGGACCTCACACACGGATGATCTGTACAGAATTTTGGGTTCAAAGAATAAACAAGGATTGGGATCTTTAATTGCTGAAAGTAGCAACCCCTTTGCTTTGTAAGCGTCACTAGGTACAATAATTTTAATGCCAGCTGCGTGTGCAAAGAATGCTTCTGGACTTTGTGAGTGATAAAGACCTCCATGGCCTACTGCACCCCAGGTTGATCTAATAGTCAGCTTGCCCACATCGAAACTGTTTCCGGACCTGTATCGATACTTGGCTACATCATTCACTATTTGATCAAATGCGGGGAAGATATAATCTCCAAACTGTATCTCTGCGATGGTTGTAAATCCATTTTCTGCTAATCCAATTGCAAAACCGATAATACCTTGTTCACACAAAGGCGTGTTAAAAACTCTTTTATCCCCATACTTCTTTTGTAGATCTAGGGAACACCTGAATACTCCTCCAAAGGCTACGTCTTCCCCGAGGAGTATCGCATTGGGGTCTTTTTCAAACACATTGTGCATAGCTGAGTTGATTGCTGTAAACATGTTCATTTTTTTTTTCTCCCCATTGTGTGTGCTGGAAAAAGATCTGAACGCATGCATCATCGTACCGCAGTGCAGAGCGGAGTTTCTTGTTCCACCTATGACTCCATTTTTGTGAAATCCAAATTTTAAAAAATTTGCTACACTGCGTAATTCCCCCTTCATTTTTTCTTTCAAGGTTCAGATGCCAAAGTGTAGAAATGGTACCTAAAAGAAGATTGTGTATATCTTGTCGTGAAATTTGGGGATTGTACACTTTAACATGTGTTACTTTATTTTTAAATTTTGTAGGGAGTAGTTTTTTTTTTTTTTTTTTTTTCCTAAATAATTAGCGAATTTATGCCCTTTCAGGATCATTAAAAGTAGTAGTAAAATTCCGTTTACACTAAACTTCTTTTTCTAAGTGAATACATTCACCTTTTTTATTCGTCAAAAAAAAAAAAAAAAAAAATTGCGCCAATTTTGAAGAGTATCGTATATGGGTGTGGGAAATTAATGAGGTGGTAAGCGGAATGGAGATTTACCCCCCCTAAGTGGGACAGTGCATAAACAGAAAATGTACATGTGTATAGGCACACCTCTGTGCTTTTTTTTTTTCTTTTTTTTTTTCCTTGTCAGTATTAAAGAAAAGGGCTTTAACTATAGTTAGGTGTATAGTGCGGTATAATTATCAAACAAAGGATTGTGTAACGAGGAAGAATACACATAGCTTCCTTCATATAACCGTTTTATTTTTATTTGTAGCGATTTAAGCAACCCTCTTTCGTTGAACTTATTCACCCTGCAGGTGCATAATAGCTATTTTTTTTTTTTTTTTTTTTTTTTTTTTTTTTTTTTTTTTTTTTTGGGAAAAGCCCTTTTTTTTTTTTTTTTTTTTTTTTTTTTTTTTTTTTTTTTTTTTTTTTTTTTTTTTTTTTATAATTTTATATTTCCTGTTCAGGCAGTTTAACAGATTTTGCAACAAATATGCACCCGAAATAGCTGTATCGACAAAATATTATGAACAAAAAAAAAAAAAAAAAAAAAATAGTTTTACCCTAATGCAAGAATGCACAAGTTGCCCTTTGCCGAAATATTTAGACGGATAAGAAACTCTCTCCTTTTCATGTACCAAGAATTGACCTAGGTGTGACCCTTTTGCATGTAACATTAGGGAGAGAGGGAAATTTATTGAAAAGGACAGAATCATCCTTTTTGGCAGAGCGTCCAATAAATGGTGGGCAGCAAACTGCGGAGCGACGAATGGAGATACATTTTGCATCGCTCATCGATCACCTTTTCCATATGTAGAGGTCGCTATGTATATTACAACGACAGACACAACGTACAAAAAAATCAGTAACAAAAAAGTTTTCCCTGTCTTGGTCAGTTCTACGAAAGGAAAAATTGTAAGCGGTTACAGTGGCAGTGATCAAATGTGAAATAATTAAAATCGCGGGAGGATAACAGTGCGCACCAACACATCGGTCGCGGTTATTTCCCAAACTATTCAGCGGGGTGCACATATCGAAGGGTAAAACATGTATAGGTGTACATGTGCGCTTCACCCGCGAGGGTGTGCTGTTCTCCTCTCACCTTGCGGCTTCGACGGTAACTTTGTGCTAATAAAATTCAGCGTCTCGATTAACGACCTTCCAACCGAACCCGTGGCAAAGTAAGTGACCATAAACTGCTTTGTCACATCCTTCTCGTTTAAGTACTTTTCTTCAACTCCTTCCCTCATAGAAATAATAAACCGCCCGAGCTGTTTTACATATACCAGCAAAATGCCGTCATGACACTCCTTGTTTCCTATGCCCCATTTTCGCAACAACTTTTGAGAGAAATGTTTTACCGCTTTCTCATAGGAGATATTTTTGCTGATGACAATTTCGTGGACCACCGCGACTGCAACCTGATGGGGGGTAGGAAAAAAAAATGCCGAATATAGCTCCATTGCAAAGTCGTACATATGTAGGTGTGCATGTTTCTGAAGGGTGGAAAAGACCCCCGTGTTTCGCCCATCAAAAGGGGGGAAAGCACGCACATATACACACATATGTATATATGTATGCGCCGGCGTGTTGGCCTACTTGGTAGTAAAACACCCCTTTGTTGGAACACTTGTGGAAATTCGTATCCCGTATCTTCAGCAGAGCCGCTTCAACTTCCAGCTGTTCGCTCAAACTCAAAAGATGGGCAGGGTCACACAGCCAAGTGTGGCTGATCCTGACAAGCGCGTGTGCAGGGGGGATATGTGTGTGAACATACGCGGACATACCTATGATCGTTGCACATATGTTTTTGCGTAAAGAGTGAACGAAGGCGACGCTAGGAGCTCGTCATGTGTATATATTATGCGGCAGCTACCCTAAGGACAAGACACACTCCTCTGGGTTAACGAAAGGGTCAGGGAAAGAATTTTCGTCGTAAGGTTCACCTGCGAGGGCGTAGTTGCTGTCGCGGAGGGGTGCAATACAGGAGGGTGAGGCGAGAAGCGCGCGTTGGGGTTATTGTGACACGTTGGCACATTGTGGCGTTGACGCAATGTCTTTGTTTCCTGTGTGCACGTCGAAGAGCGATGAAGGGAGCGTCCCCGACAATCGCACTACTTCGTTTGGTCTTAACTCGTCATCCGCCGCAAGGTCTTGTATCAATGGGTACAGCTCCTTCTCACCGGGGGCCCTGTGGAAAGGGGGAGAAACGACATGGAAAAGTCGAAATGGCGTTAAGAGAGAAGTGGTATAGGTTCCCATCTCCGTGGCGTTGCCTTTGTCGCCCCTTCACTTAGTAACCGCCGTATGCACATTACAGTTGCGTTTTTTGTGCGAAGCGAGTTGTGCTTTCTTACATGTCCTTGTTTGTCCCAGGGACGTCCTTGAAGTAAAACTTGTGGAGCAAGTCTAACTTGTCGCACGAGCAACATTTTTGTAAAATGAGAAAAAAAAGGAAAGGCCAGATGGCAACAAAGGGAACTTTCATTTTTTCCCCACGAGATATCAGATGGTTTGAAAAACTTCACCAAAAACAAAAAAAAAAAAAAAAAAAGGGAACTAGCAGCACAGTGAACGAACAAAAGAGTGCGCATAAAATGCCTTTTTTCAATGGTTAGCCAAAAGGTATAGACAACAACGTACGAATGTGCAGTGTGTGTGGAAATGTACTCTATTTGATATTCCCTCCTTCGCTGTGCATTTTTTTTTTTTTTTTGTGTGGGGATCTCAATGTGTTAGACAAGTCAGACATTATAGGACAAGGCAATTGGTAGACTATAAAAAAAAAAAAAAAAAAAAAAAAAAAAAAAGGTGCATACAGGAGGAACATTCTGCCTGCACGTTCCTTATCTGGTGGGTGCTTTGTTTTTCATTCGCTTGCGTGGATCAGCGATGTGTAGCTTTTTTGAAACGGGGGTATTTGAGAAGTTGTTCACTATGTTGCATTGTTGCTTGTTCATACATCGGTGCGCCTATGCATAGATGGTATGCCCCTTTCTAGCATTGCGGTCGCTTCTACGGTGTAGTTACACAAAAAAAAAAAAACTCTTGCACACGTAAGAGGGTGCGATTGGGCAGCTGGGCGGTATTTTTTGGGGGGACACACAGAGTGTGTAAAAAAAAAAAAAAAGAAGAAGTATCATTTGGGCCCCTGTCTGGAGTGGAACACACATATTATAGTGGCACATAGCTGCGTAATTCTTTGCACACAAGTGAAGACTCCTGAACCCTGCAACTCGCCTGAGGCTATCTTCTGAAACAGTTCGATGCGTCCTTTGCCCCCGTTTGAGTGATTGACGACAAAGGAGGGAAGAATAAAAATAGGGAAAAAGAAGAAGAAGAGGAAGAAGACGACGGCGACTCTAGCGAACTGGACAACGCGTCAGTAGTAGGAGGGCCTTCTTCTGTATGCATAGCGCTTCTTCGGGTGGTACCTGCTTGAGGAGTGGAACTCGGAAGTCAAGTCGACATGATCAGGGATGCTCCGAGCCACAGTCAAGTCGAACATATTCCTATGGTCCACCTTCGACATATTATTAAAATTTTGTATGAACAACTCAGCTATATTTTCATTGAGATCAAAGTAGGAGGAAAATCTATCCTTTGTATCAATTTTGATTTGTAAAATTTTGTTAAATGTATTTACATTTAAATCATTGGATATTTTGTTGACCCAGTAGATAATATCGTCTTCGTTTTTCCACTTCCTACTTTTGTTCACAAAGCTTAGAGTGAGAGTTTCAGATAGGCCATTAATCAGGGATCTCTTTTTGATGTGTTCTTTTTTTGAAATAATGGCCAAGCACCTAGCTACTAATTCTGTTTGATCCATCTGCATCTGTGTACATTGTTCTATCAATTCGCTAGCAGTTTTTTGAAAAAATGGCAATACGGATGGATTAACATTTTGAATCTTTTTTGATGCCATGGTAGATGCAGATGTGAAGACATCTTCATTGTTTGGTAATTGTTCGATGGCAAATTTGATTCCACAATTTTTTTCTATCTTTACTAAGTCCTGCTTATCTTCAGTTGAGAACAAGACAACGGAAACACCTTTCTTGTTTGCTCTCCCCGTTCTTCCAGCTCGGTGAATATAAATTTCTGCGTAGTTTGGAGGAAAACATTGAATGACTAAATCGACGTTACTTATATCTAACCCTCTAGCGGCAATGTCAGTCGCTATCAAAATTTGAAACATTCCTTGGCGAAACCGTTGCATGGTGTGTTCCCTAGTTGTCTGGGCGATGTTTCCATGAAGAACTGCAAAAGAGAGAGATTTAAAAGACCCCTCGGAGCATAAGATATCCGCCTCTAACTTAGTTCGCGTAAAGATGATCACCTGGCCTCCATTCGACTTGACCAGAATGATGTCCTCCAACAGCAAGGCCTTTTCCTTTATGTCGTAAGGCGTCTTTATGGCAATGTGTTTAATATTTTTGGAAGTCTTGTTTGAAGAATCAACCACATCGATAAAAAAAGGGTTCTTCATATACCTAGAAGAAATGTCTTTAATCCACGATGGTGTCGTTGCGGAGTACAGCAAAATTTGTGCTTCTTTCAAATTGATGTAACTTAATATTCTCTCTAGGTCATGGGTAAAACCCAAGTTTAGCATTTCATCAGCTTCGTCTAACACTAAGTACTTTATATTTTGGAGAGACAAGTTTTTTTTCTCTAGGTGATCGATTATCCGACCCGGGGTTCCAGTTAAAATATCTATTCCTTTCCTCAACTTGGCCTCTTGGTACACATAGCTTTCTCCTCCATATATTGACATAATGTTGAAGTTGTAAAATTGGCTTATTTCTTTGAACGTGTTTTCTACCTGCTTGGATAGTTCTCGTGTGGGTTCTAGTACCAAGATGGATGGGTTCTTGTTGTCATCTGGTTGATTTGTGCCGCCAAAAAGGTTGGCACGCTCTATGTCAGGTGTTGAGGAAGTTACCCCTTCTCCACTCCTCCCCATTTTAACTTTGTACAACCTTTCCACCAAGGGAAGCGCGAAGGCTAGGGTTTTCCCCGAGCCCGTTTCGGAACGTCCTATTATATCTCTCCCCTCGTAAATGGGTTTGAAGCTCTGCGCCTGAATTTTCGTCATCTGATTTATGCCTTTGCTGGCCAGGAACTTGGCGATGTTTGGGTTTATTTCGGGCACGTCTGCGAACTGGTCACTTACACGAGGTGAGTAGTTATCCTCCCCACTTCGAGCGTGGCTATCACCACCAATACTTTGCCTCCCCTCCACGCTCGGCGCAGCTTCGCTCGGGGGACCTGCAACCCCGTGGTCCGATAAGCTCCCCCCCCCATGGTTCGCCCTTCTTAAAACAAACCTCTTCTTCGTAACACTCTCGCGTGTTGCGCTTGGAGAGATAAAAAAGTTTTTTCTTACGGAGTGCGCTGTCGCGGCGCTGTGTGTCTTATGTAGGCGCACATTTACACATAAAAGGAGCAAACATAGGGTCACATGAATTTTTAGTGTTCTACCAACATGGTTTAGTATAGTGCGGGGTGAAGATCTCATGCTTTGATGGACTCTTTGGGGGGAGGTGCCTTATTTTACGGGGGGAGGTGGGAGTCTGCGTACTAATAAAAACGGACAAACTAAACAGGGTAATATAAACCAAGTAGGCTAAGGGAAAAAGTGGCGCCCCTAACGCTCCGCATGATTTTTCTTCTACCTTGACATAAAAAAACGGATGTAGCTACTCCCCAAATGTTGTTTCAGCAGAAGTGAGCGATAGAAAATGGGACATATTCCAATTGGTGTTATGTAGCACCGCATGGGCGCTTGTACAGAGGTGAGGCCACTTCGTTGCGATGGGTCGTTGAACTAATCAGCTTAAAAGAGGGAGCATTATAAAGGTAGATGCATGGAGAAAAAAGGAAAAAAAAAAAAAAAAAAATCGCAAAAATGGGTAAGTTTGCTGTGGCTTGGGGTGTTTTCTCAAAAAGGAAGAAGCATGGGCAGCAATTTGTGCAATTATGTGCCATACGTATGGATAAAGTGTATACGCATATAATATATTGTACGCATTGCCCTTGTGCTTAGGCGCAGACGTGTCGTAATTCGAACGAGTGAAGCGAAAAAGAAAAAAAAAAAAAAAGGCAGGCGAGGTGTAGAAGTCTCCGTGTACCGCCCTTCTGCTGAAGCAAAATTTTGAGTGTTGAGCAGCAGAGACTATGCGACGTTTTTCGGTTCATTTTTACGAGATGGAGAATCTACCCATTTTATAATTAGCCATTTTTGAAAAAAAATTCGTCACATTCGCCAAGTCACAATGGAGATGGTTTGCACGTATACTACCCCGCAGTGTGCGCTTATAATTATAGGGCCTGTTTGGGATCCTTAACATTTTTCTCTCTGGATATTTGGGCAAAGCGTTTTTTTATCTCTCTAGGAGTCTGTTCCAAAGCATAATCGGTTAACACATTTTTCTGAACCTCATGTGGGTGTACTGTGAAGCGGCACCTCTACCATGCAATACGAATGTTGCGTGGTCCCTATGTGCGGAAAGGAAAATTTTCAAAGTTGTTCACGTGGGGGTCATGAGGTTCCAACTTCGTCACGTCAGATGATGCGGAGAAGAGGCCCTATTCTGGGACGGGACAGAAAAAAAAAAATTCAATGGAAGTTCACTCTGTGTTACTCTTTTTCGCCCCATTTGAATGCGTCAAGTGAACGTGTGCAATGTTAAGAAGCGACATTTTCTACAATCCTTTTAATTGTCTAAATGCGGTGGCAACGGTTGCTATCACCATAAATCGCGTTCCCTTTTTGTATGCTGTATACTTATGCGCTAAGTTAAAGATGAAAGGAGATGCCAACACAGGTGATGGTATGCCACGTCAGACATGTGCTCGTTCTGCCCCTCTATCGATAGCGCGTGTTGCGGAGGTGTTCTCTATGCTTATGATCAAAATGGGCCAAAAGGGGAAAAACACGATAAGTCACTAAAATGGGGGTAAAAAAGTATGAACATGAAATAAAAAAAAAAAAAAAAAAAAGCCCTATAATGCGCCGCAACACAAATGGTGACAATTTGCACACATTTTTACACACCTTAAAATGTCTTGTTCTTAGCTTAGCAAGCGCAGTGGCAGAAGCAACGGACACCGTCGCTTAGTCTATGTCTTTATTTGAGAGCATTACTTAACCAAAGATTTGCAATATTTAGCCGGTCACATAGGTCGGTACGCCTGTGTGTGCTTCCTTTTGTAATCCTGTTCGTGCTTCCGCTGTGCAATTTTAAGGTTTTTTTCTGTATACCATTTTTTCCTTCCAACATGGATGAGAATAAAAAGGTGTTCTACAGCTACGTGGATAACATGCACAGGAAAAATGAGGAGATACACAGAATAATGGACATGAAGGAGAAAATCAAAAAGGAGGAGCAAAAAAAAATAGAAGAGTCCCAGAGAATTATCAAAAATAACCAAGTGTCCATAGACACCGTTGACGAGGCACACAAAGCTAAGGAGCTGACTTGTGTAAATTTAAAAAAGGATATATCCATCCAGAAAAGGAAGCTGCAAAATTTGAACACCCTCTTGGGAGAATTGCCCGATGTTATCGAGGGAGAGGAAAGGAAATACTGCGAATTTAAGTACTCCTTAAAATGTTGAAAAGGGGCTACGCACATGTATGTCCCTTTCCCATTGTTGACTTTTCTCGTGGTGGTCGCTTTTCCTATGTTGCACCTACTGCTATACCCATGTTGTGGAAAACTTCCCTTTGTTTCTTCACCCTCGGAAGGAAGAAGTCCCGCAAGGAGATAGATGAACTTATGAAGACCCTGGAGTCGCCACCTTACACCAACAGTGCTGATGAAGTTTGGGACAAAATAAAGGAATGTCAATCCAACACCGATCAACTAAATAGTGCAATATACGAGGCGCATGGAGAATTAACACAGCTAAAAACGAAGTGTAATAGTTCCCAGGAGAAATTCAGAGTAAGTGGGAAATTATTTATCAATTTTGTTTTTCCTCTGCAATTTCCACCTTGCGTTTACGAGGAGTAAAATATACCCTACCTACGATCTATATTCTCCATCACTGCTTTCACCAAACGCTCGCTGTCTGCACAGGACCTTGTCGAGGTAGAGCGGAATAAAAATCAGAAGCTAAAAAAGATATCAGCCACACTTCAGGTAGGTTTATCTCTCCCATAGAGAGAAGTATGAATCAAACAGGCTGTTTCTCCTAACACATGTACTACCGCACAGTGCATGGTGCCTACTAATCTAATCACTGCACATTGCTTTTTTCATAAAAAAAAAAATGCAGTTCATTCAAAATTTAAAAAAAGGCACAAATGGAAAAGCAAACGACGAAGGAGATTTAAAAAAAAAGTTGGAAGAAATAAATGACTTGTACAGGTAAGGTTTGTATGACTTCTTTTCCACTTAAACTAGTGTTACGTAAAACTTTGGGGAATCTGCCCCGTCTTTCCTTCCCCCTGCTTCGATTTTTTTAAATCCCTTTTATAATTTTTTCGCAAAGACCTTTTCCTGCTAAAGATGTCTTCAAATTTGACGTTTTTTTTGTGGAGCTGGTAAATTTTTTTGGTTACCAAATTGTCTGAGTCATTAAAAAGGTATATGTCTCCTGTGCTCGCTCCTCTGGAGATTCTTCCGTTTCTGAGAAGTGGTGGGGGCAGCCCCCAAAGGAAACCATTCACATGAAAGGAAGGAAAGAAGAACAATCGTAGAAAGAAAAAGTGCATTCCAGTGCAGTTGTTTGTACATGGTGTTGTCCGCCTGTTCGAGGAGGTGATGACGGGTGCCTTTCCCCTGGCTTGTGCACCAACTCCCACCTTACCTATGCGTGTAAACCACAATGTTGGTAGGCGCGTCCAAGTGAAACAGGTGCGTAATTCCCTTGATGTCCACCCCTCTGTGAATTATATCGGTGGTCACAAGGATGCACCTCTCTGAGTTTTTGAAAATGTCAAGAATGGAAAACTGGTCTTCCTTCTTTAAAGATGAATTGAAAAGGTAGATGTCCTCAAAAAGGGTGCTCAACTGACTAAATGCGTTATTGCAGCTGGTGACTGTATTGCAAAAAATGAGAGCTTTTTTATAATTCTCTTTCGACATGATCCTTTTTATGGCTTTTATTTTTTCACTAACAGTATATGTGGGCAGATTTACAAAGTGGTAGTTTACAAGGGGGTGTACATTGTGCAGGTAATTCGTCTTGATCAAAACGGCATCTGTTACGTACTTGTTGATATTTTGGTAAACAGACTTTTTCCCCTTATTGCAGAGGGTGGAGGACGTTACTATGGAAATGTATTTCGTGTTGGCTAATTTGCTCATTTGTTCGTAAAGCGCCTTTATGTGTTTCACAAAGGGGTCGTCGAACATGACGTCCACTTCGTCCATTATGAGAAAGTCTAGGTTTTTGAGAAATGGAATTACTGCATCTTGGTTTTCCTTCATGTAGGTAGCGAACCTCACGGGGGAGGTGATCACAATTAGGCTTCCATTTGGGTTCAGGTTGACAGGGGCTAGGGAGGTAGGGTTCAGAGTGGCACTTTTCACCTTGATGTTTCTGCGTGGGAGGGAGAAAAACGTGTTGGATGTCAGTTTAGTGTGGTGGCTTTGTTGTGATGTGTGCAGTTCGTGGTAGTGGGACGGCGTTATGCTCACCTGGAGAGGCGTCGAATGACTTGGAGGCACTGCGTAGTGAGCAACCCACTATATTGAAAAATGAGGACGAAGATTCTGTTGTTGCTGTTGGATTGCTTCAAGATGTGGTTCAAAACGAAAATGATATAGGACAAGGTTTTTCCAATCCCATTTTCAGCACCGATGATAACATTTCGCAGAACGGGGAAGTTCTTATTATAATACTGCAAGAGGTCGAACTGAATTAGTGACGGGATGGTGATGTTATTTTTCTTCAACTCATCAACTAGGGTTGGATGAACAAGTAGTTTGGAAAAGGTTTGGTCCTTCTTAAAGAAACATGTCCCTCCATTTTGGCCATCTGCTTTTTCATTTTTGCATAGAAAGTGTTCCACCTTTGGGGGGGTCACACTGTTGTAATGTCTCTGATAATTCCTAGAAAGAATATTTTTTTCCTTCCCTGAATTCACATTTTGAAGAGTCCCTTTTCCAAACAGAAATGAAGTAGATGATGATACTTTGCTGAGGTGGAAGGTACTGACTAAATTGAGCAAAATAGAGGGTAAGAAAAAAAGAATTACAGAAGGCGCAAGAAACATAATAATTCTTGGCTCTTAATATTTTTCTCTTCAATTTTGTCCCTAAATTCCAGCAAGATGTAAAAGAAAAAGAACAGCACGCAGAAGAAGTGAAGAGAGACGTAGAGTGACAGGAAGAAGGACAGAAGCAGAAGGCAGAGGTAGAGGGTGAAGAAACAAAGGAAAAATATATACATAAAAACGACGCTGGGGGGCAACATGATAGGGGGGGGCGGAAAAGTGCGCACTGCACGTGTATGCAAGCAATCGCGTATCAACGTAATGACGTAGAAACGTTATCACGTATCAGCATAATCACGTACGAACACAAACACATATGAGGGCAATCACGTATGAACACAAACAGGTATGTGTGTATGGCGTGGGAAGAGCTAACATTGGGGGAGACAGATGTAAGTCCAATCACTCAACACTTTTGTCCTCCTTCTAGCCATGTAACAGGTGCAAGTTCGCCTTCTCGAAGCAGTTGTGTGACTTGTCTGAGTCTGAACAACTGGTTTATGCCACGTGGACACTGCAACATGTGTAACGCGGGAAGGCGAAGAAACGGAGCGTTTTCATGAATGACTGAGCGTGACGTCCATTCCACGTTGGTGAAAAGCGTTGGGGGGTGGCACGTATTGTGAAGACTGGACACGGGCGCGAGAGGGGGGGCAAATGCGGACAATTGACAAAGAAAAGAGGCGAAAAAGTAGAGCGGTAAAAATCGGAACACGTTGAAAAACAGGGAAAGTCAGAAAAAACGTAGAAGACATTTTTTGTCTGAATTCCCCGCAACGTTGAAAAAAAAAAAAAAATTCTGCGCGTGTGCATAAAAATTGCGAAGGAGAAAAACGAAATGCGTGGTGCACATAGCAAAGGGGGGGATGAAATGTGTTTTTTCCCAAATTAGTTCTCTAATTCTGCACTCGCATCTGCGTTGTTCATTTCTTCACAAGTGGAGTATTGATAAAGTCCTTTTCGTTGTGTTGACAGAACATTGTTCGTGCTGAGGGGCGGACGGGTTAGGCGAAATGGGTCAGGTTATAGTTGCGCTTCATTTGTGGGCGGCAAAAAGGCGCACAACTGTCTTGGCACTCTCACGAAACGGGAAGGTGGGCAGAAAAAATGCCGACTGATGGCACAGTGTCTATATGAGGTAATCGGCGTGGGCGCAAACTCGCGTGCGAGTTGTATCTCCTCAAATTGGGGCGAACGAAATATGGAACGAAGCGGAGCAAAGTGAAACTATGCAAAACATGGGCGACAAAGCAAAGTACCCAACGTGGCGCAAAACTAAAACAAAACTCACCTTCACGAGGGAAGAATTACACATGTCATCACTGCAAAAAAAAACATTGTTGCCCTTACAACAACACAAAAAAGAAGAAAAAAAAAAAAAAACCCTGCAATTTTGAAACAGGGCGGTCTAAGAAGTGACCCAAATAAAAACGGGAGAATCGCAAACAAAAAAAAAAATCCGGCGTTATTGAGGCATCCTTATTTTTTCTCTCCCTTTTTTAAAAGAACATTGTCATGAAAAAGGTTTCATTGTGTAATATTTGTAATTTTTCTTTTCTTTTTTTTTTTTTTTTTTTTTTCTTCGTCACGTTAATCACGGGATTATAAAAAGCAAAATTATTTTTCCACCCCTTTTTTGGGTATAATTTTTTGGGAGGGGAAAATACGTGGAAAAAAACAACAGTTTTTTTTTTTTTTTTTTTAATGTGCCTAATGGGCAATTTATAATAATTATAGGGGCAAACAAAAAATGTGAGTAGATGAGCCAAATTGCTATGAAAAGGCACCAACAGTGGGGAACGCGAGCACTGGCAGGCGGCAAACACCCCATAGTTGAACGACTGTCCGTGGAGTAGCCAGCCGCGTAAAGAATAAAATGTGAAAAGGCACAAACACAACAGTTGCATAGACGTAACAGCGTGCAAAAGAACATGGCGTACTTCTCCGACTTTGCGAGAAAGTGCGATATGGACGGATGTAGGTACCATGACTTTCTCCCCTTTAAATGTGAATACTGCCTTTTAAGTGTACAAAAAAACAAAAAAAAAAAATTTTTAATGTCCGCGCAGTGCAAATATGTGACTGCTGAACGAAACATAGTAGTCATGTTAAGCGTTGGCACGAAGACATGATGAGCGACTTGTGTTGTGTCCCCAGCGAAAAGGCACTTGCACACTGTGATGAGGCATCGCATTAGCTCATCAAACTTTTGTGGCACCCCGTCCTTTCAACAACACGTTAATAAAAATGCAATCTTTTTTTTTTTCTCTTCTTCTTTGCTCCCTTGTCAGTTTTGCGAACTACACAGAAATATTCAAGACCACGCCTGCGCCAATTCCAAGGCTGCAGATTTAAAAAAAGTCGTCCTGTGCGATTACTGCAATGGGGTTCTCCCAGATGTAAGTCAAGAGAGTGGCACACTGCAGAGGTGGTACTGTGATGACACATATTGCATCACACGTGGGGTTGTATGCGTACCCTACACCATTTTTCGCACATCCGGCTGGCTCATTCAAAACTGTGCGCAACATACCGAAACGCCCATTTCGATTTTAAAATTGTAGAAAGAGGGGGAGATAGAAAATCACGTAAATCACAAGTGCACCTTTAAGAAGAAGAAGAAGTCCCTGGTGATGTGCGGCAAGAAGGGTTGCAAAACGGTGAGAAGGCAACGCTGGCCTAGTTGAGAAGTGGCCAAGCGCAAAGATTAGAACGGGCATTAAAAGATGAACCAAATAGAGCAAACCCCGTTTTGCGCCCTTAGAAGGACCCCGTTGTGAGAGTGAACCACACGTGTACACTGCACACTTTTAAGGGTACTCACACGAATACAAATAATGCAACACATTTTATTTTTCCTCTCCCCGAATAACCTCCCAACTTGTTAGGTCCTAAACGACATCAACAATTACACCTGCAAGAAATGCAAAAAAAATTTCTGCCTATCCCACCGCTATTTCGATACGCACGGGTGTGTTAAGGAGAATTCCCACAAGAGCTTTTTCGAAAGTAAGGAAAGTGGGTTAACAGAAAAGTGTGTCCATCCGTTTGACCATTCTGCATGTCTGCCCAGTTGGTTGCTGTCCGGCTTAGCACATTCATCCATTCATCCATTCATCCAATCATTCATTCATTTTTTTTTTTTTTTTTTTTTGTAAAATAGAGTATTTGTATTTTTTATAGGTGTCTGAGAAAGTAGGGTGCCCCCCCTGTGATGTGCATGGGTCCACGTGGAAAGGCGAATGGACCACACGGGCTTGTTCGTTTGGTCCGACTGACTCATGTGTGCATATGTGGGACTTCCCTCCAAGTGAAAGCGTGATGTGTGCTGCTATACCTGTGCTGTCACATTTCGTAAAATTATAATTTTCGCAAAACTGGGCAAAGTTGATGCTCAGTGGAAGGGGCTTGTTGTTTCTGCACCACGTGTTTTTTTTCACCGCTGTTTTTTTCAAATGGCCATGTGTTTGTTAGCCCGTTCGTGCCATGCGTAGTTTGTTTTTATCCACAACATAGCTCATCTTTTTGTTCTGTTAACATAAGTTGACCTGCCTCGTGCCAAACCTAATAATTGAATTACGATTATTGGATGGAGGGCAACAGTGGCGTGGCTAAACGGTTTGAAATGCCAGCTGGGGGAACTCCACCAGGAATTGGATAAGGTTTCAAATAAAAAAAAAAAAAAAAAAATGAAACAAGGTGTAAAGACAACGTGGAAGCGTAACATAATCATATTGCAAAAACACAATGCGAACAAAGGGGGTGACCTGCAAAACGTCGGTCAACACAGAGTAGTTCACCCGTGCGTTGGAAAAGAAGACGGTCATGTGTGTGTGATGCGGGTGATGGGCACGCACCAGGGAAGGCTACACGGGGACCTTCCTATTTTGGAAGTTGAAGAACCGCCTAACCATGTTGTACAAAGGTTCGCACAAAACGTATTTGGATATGCAAATATTGACAGCTATGTTAAGAAGATTTAAAAAAAGGAATTTCACTTTATGGCCTGTGGTAAGGATGTTGTTTCCGTTTGGGCCGTAGAAACTTAGGCCGCTGGCTGAGTAGGAGAATATGTCTAGAATTTTGAATTTGGTTGTTCTGGAAACTTCGTCGTTGCAGTTCATTCGAAAGAGGCACGTGAGTCGGTTGGGCCCTCCGACCGTCAGGTAGAACAGGAAGCTGTTGATGAGGCAGTAGTACCTATGAAGGGGGGGGGGGGGGAAAGAAAGAGCGGTTATGTGGTGCACACTAATGGAATGAGCAGTGCTCGATTATGCATCACTTGGCACGTCTCTTCTTGCCGCGCCTGTTGCCGCGCGGCTGCGGTACTCACCCCATGAAGGTGTAGTTGGAGAAGATGGGCTTGCGGTACTTGCCGCCGAAGGTGAAAATGAACGCGCTATTCACAATTTGGAAGCAAAACCACACGCAGGCCAAAAAGCTCTCGTAGTTGTCGCTCATGAGCCACCAAGAAGATTTGGGGGCAGAGCTGTTCATATCATACGACGATGGTAATTTATACACATAAAAAAATTGCAGCATAATTATATAAAGAAAAAAAAAGTTAACAACCAAATTGGATAATAAAGAAATGATAGTCTGAGCACCAATAATACTTGAGGTGGGAGTCTGCGTTTTTAATTTTCTCGCTGGTCTGGAAAGGGTCATGGATTTTGCTAGCAACAATAGGATCACATTATCGAAGAAGAGGTAGCCATATTCTGACATAACGGCATGAGCATTCATAAAGAGAACAATTTTGACCACGGAAATCATGAACCCATAGAGGAGCATATACTTGTAGCAGTTAATAGAGGTTACTAGACAAGCTCGACCTTCTCTCAACACATCAATGACGCTTTTTATATTATCATTTTTGCTACTAAATGGGGATACTACTGAAGTGTCCGCATCTGATAAGGCTAATCCTGCATGAGAAATTTTTAGAGCTCCGCAATCGTTACTACCATCTCCACACATGCCAGAGATGTAATCATATTTTATAAAATCCTTTATCACCTCCATTTTGTGATTTGGGGTTAACCTGGAGAAGATGCGTACACGTAGAAGAAAGTTTTTATATCCTTCCAACCTTTCATGGTTACTATACGACGTTATATCTTCCTCTTCATTGGAGATACGAAATATGGTATGTCTTATGTAAGTGTATGCTTCTCCCGTTAGGATAATTTCTTTGTAGATATTTCCAAAGAGCACATCTTCTGAATTCACTTTTTTATCATTTTGTATGTTTACGAATACGAGGTCAGTGGAGCCTTCTTGCATGTACCCGTAGATAATAACATTTTCGTTTCTCTGTTCGTTTTGCTCATAAGTGTAGTACGAGTGTTTGCTGTGTGGGGGGTTCATTTCGCTGACTGCTTCGAGGAAGGGTGCCTCATTCCCGCGACCGTCGCTTGCCCGATCGGCTTTGCATTCGTCGACACTATTGTAGCTGTTTCCGTCGGAGGCGGGGTGCCCGTTTTGTCCACCCCCCTGTGCAGTTTTCTGCCCGCGGTGGATCAGTGTTGTGGTTTCGTCCCGCGCGTAGTCCTCATCCATATCGCGGTAAATCTTGGAGGACGCCCCCTTGGGTAGGTGATTATTGTGGAGGTTTCCCACATCATCCTCTCCTTTTTCATGTGTTCGAAATATGGGAGGAGCCCCGTTCCTTCCCGTTTGCGCGGATCCATGGGCGCCCTCGCCATGTACAAGGTAAAAATCGGCATGGTGTTCCATTTGGGGATGGGAAGACTTGGCGAAGTTGTTGGATGGTCCCCCGGCGACACTTTCTTCATCGCCCCTTCCTACTTGTGCGTTGGACTTGATAAAATTTTCAAATGACAAGAATTTCGTCTCTGTGGAGAGGAACAGGTTTTCTCGTTCGTTTAGTATCCTTTCCGCCGAGTTGGAGCTGGTGTTTGTATTCGAGTTCATGTTGATGGAGAGAAAGGATTCGTAAAAGTTAATGCTGTTGAAAAGACCAATTTTATTCGCTACATAGAGGCAGTTGTATGCATTATCGCCAGTAAGAATGACTGGTCTGATGGAAGAGCTTTTTAAAGTTTGAATAACCAACTCAGCATCTTTCTTGATGTAATTGCTAAACATGATGAGGGATAAGAACCTCATATCCTTTTCTAACTCTTCCCTTGGTAGTTGTAATATTTCTTCAAAGGACATGTCATATATGATTCTAAAAGCTAGTCCAATTACGTAGAACCCGTTTTTACTGTATTCTTGTTCTTTCTTTTTAAAAAATTGTATTTCTTCATTTTTGATGCATTTTTTGTAAATTTTGTCAAATGAGCCTTTAGAAAAAACGACAAAAATTTTTTCCCCCAAATCAAAGTAGCCATATGCTACTGTCGTCGATATTTTTGTGAAGTAGTCAAATTCAAATGTTTTGAGAATATCAAAATGTTTAAATGTGTAATTAATTTTTAGGGATACCTTTTTCACGTTCATGTTGTATTTGTTAATGTAATTACTTATCTTCATTTCTGTGGCTTCGAATAATCTTTTATCTATTTCGTGTCCATATATATTGTCATTGATGTTATCGCTGTAGACACATGCGCAGCCTGCGAGGGCGTATACTAGTAGGTGATAACTTGGAGGGGTATTTTTCAGGGTGGCTTTATTTGCCCACATGAGTTTGCTATTGTAAAGGAGTGATGTGACAGAATTCATGGAAGAGTTGGATTCGTTGAAGTGGCAGCTCCTCATAGGAGGTGCCTCTTCTGCTGGCTCTGCTTCTTCCTGGACTGACTTTTGACTAAAATTTTCGCGTCCCACAATGGGGGTATTTTCTTTTTCTTTCTTGGCCCTTTGGGTGGACTCATCTATGTCCATGTCGATGGAAACGCTTCTGTCCTCTAGGGGATGTTGTTCCTCCGCTTCAAGCAAATATGATTCTTCATCGACATTTTTCTTGTCGTCATTTGGCAACGTTGACAGGTTAGCCCTTTCGACGTGGTCTCCCTGATCGGAGTTCCCTGCCATTTGTTCTTCTGCAGTAAGAGAGACTTCTTTGTTCTGATTTTCATGGTATTTATTTTCATCCGTTTCGTCGTAGCTTTGGAAGACGTCTCCGCTGGAGGGCTGGCTGGCGTCCTCCTCGTCGGGGGTTTCCCTCTCCCGGTTGAGGTCGCCACTGTTTACTTCCATTTGGCCTCCAACGAAGTTGCTTTCTTCAACGAAGCCGTTTTCTCCAACGACGCCGCTATCTCCAACGATGCTGCTATCTCCTACGACCATACCACTATCACCTACAACCAAGTCGTCTTCATTCCCATTAGCGCTGCTCGCTGCTTGGCCCACATCGGGCACCACGGGTAAAACTTCATCGTCGACGCTCGAGTACAGGGAGGGCACGGACGGACCATTTGCGCGGTCTGCCTCGTCCATATGATCCAGCACTTCTGCGTGGTTTTCCCCATCTGCGCTCTCCGCCGTTACAAGATTTTTATCTCTCTGTGAGCCGGTGCCCGATGAGGACGCCCCTCCATGAGGGACGCTGCTATCCACCCGATGGGCAAACTCCATTTTAAGCGACTCATTTTTCCTAACCGAATTCATATTGACTTTACTGGAGGGGTAATAACTTTCATACTTCACATCATACGTATCGTCAGACATGCTCTTGCTATGGTTGTCCAGTCCAGATAGCTGTGCCTTTTGTTCATTTAAAACGTTATTACTAAAATGAACTCCTGAAAATTCAATTTTGTGTCCTGTTAATGTTCCCGTTTTGTCGAAAAAAAAGATTCTAATTTTCCCACATATGGGAATTCTTGATGGAGCAATGCATCTAATATTTTTTTCCTCCTTCAATCTATTCGTTGAAATGTTTAACCCCATGTTTAGAACAACGGGAGTCCAGACAGGTAGTATTTGTGACATGGTTCCGATGGTGTAAAAAATGGATGTCATATTAAGTCCCAAGGAACGTATTTGGAAGTACATGCATATGAAAGAGAAGAGAATAGTAAAGAGAAAGACGATGGGTAATTGCGAGTCGTATTTGAAGAGGAGTGGATTAGGGAAAAGAACATTCTGCATATACTTGCCCTTGTAGGTGTATATGCTTACACTGATGACCACTGCGTAGATGCTCTCTGTGGAGTTCATTGTAGAAAGGACATCCGTGCCAGAGTATAGAATATTATTGTGATGGAAATTTCGTTTGGTGCTGTAGTACTTGTCTTTGTTAAACCTCTCATGGTTATTGTTCCCTGCGACCTGTGGACTCATCGGATTGGCTGCATGTGGAGAGTCATTCTTGTTCCATTGGGACTGGTTCCCCTTTGAGTTTTCTCCAAAAGGGAATGAATAACTAGACGATGAGTAGGTCCTATTTTCAAAAGAGTTGAAGGAGCTCAAATTAGATATGCACGTTTTTTTCATTGGTCTGGATTCTCCAGTTAGTAAACTTTCATCTACTAAAACTTGACCCGTCAGTAGGACACAGTCACAAGGCATGGTCATCTTAGAATTTATAATGATCACATCTCCAATAGTTAAATTACTAGAGGGGACATGTTGAACGATAGAATTTCTATAGACTGTCACAATGGTGTTGTTGGTGGATTGTATATTTTCATAAATCTCTTTTTTATTTTTTTCATTTTTCATAATTTTGCTTACAACACTTAGAAATGAGATGACTAGCCAAATGAGAGAAGTTATCACTTCCTTCCAAAAAAAATTTTTGTATGTTATAAATAGCTGGAACATGTAGATCCCATCGAGTAGCTCTCTTTTTATGCTTTTAAAGAAGGAGCAAAATTCGAGGTGTATATTATTGTAACCATAGTCATTTAGATTGTTAATAATTTCGCTGTTGTTGAGTCCTCCTTTTTTTAGTACGTAGTTGAAGTCGAGGCTGTTTACCTTTTCTTCAATGGTATGGGCGATATTGTGGAATGCGTCTTTCTCTTCGTTGTATACGTACTTCATGCTTCTAAAAAAGAAGTAGCGCATATTCTTTTCGTTTGTCTGTACTTTTACCTTGTGCACTGTGAGGGGTGGGAAGACTGCGCCAGCTTTGCTTTCCATCGACGATCCCGCTTTGCCGGTGACCTTTCCTGCCATTTTGTTAGCCCCCTGTTCGTGGTGACCCCATGAATGTCCCTTCCTCGTGTGCCCGCTTAACAAACGCGTGTCTTCCAAAATGTCTTCATATTTTATGTGGTGGTTATCTTTTTGTCCTCTCCCCTCTTCCTCCTCACTGTTGCCTGAGCGCGCATTTTCAAATTCATCTCCTCCCTGGATGAAGCCCCACTTGGAAAGTTCTGAAAAGAGTGCATGTTTTATCACCCCCTGGTAGTGCACATACACATTCGCACAATGCCGGATGCGTCTTCCGAAGGTGTGATACCATCCTTTAGCCCAGTTAATGGCATAGAAGAAACTTCGCCTAAGGGAAGTGTTATATGTGTTGGCGTACTCATCACTCTTGGTGTATATCAACACATAATCACTTTCCTTCAGCAGAGAGGGTTTCAGAAAAAAGCTGTGCAGATGTTTTCTCACTGTCAAAATGCCATATGTAATGGAAAAACAGAGGAGGAGAAAAATGAAGAAAATAAAAGCTCGATCATTCCACAGAACCTCAGCCCCCTCGCGTATGCAATACTCATTTGCAATTAAAAAGAGGATAATGATATGGGTGCATACGTATAGGAAGATGGAAGCATTTTTCAGTGCGAACCCAACAAAGTTATTTTGGTACCCTTCTTGCCGAACTACAATGTCGTCTGAGTCGTCCTCCTCTTGTGCTTCGTAAATGTAGTTAAAAAATTCGACCTTTTCATTTTTTGCGTGGGCCTCGGTATTCTTCCATTTATGTCTTTCATTTATTATATTTCTAAATCGATTTTTGCGTACACACCATACCAGGAAGCTTATCAGTAGGAAGAAGTAGAAGAAGCAGATGCACGTGAGTTCGAAGTAGGTCAATGGCAGGCTGTCCGCTTTGCAAACCCGGCCCATGTTTGCCTATTCCTGCGCACGAGGGGCTTTGTTTCCCCAGGGTGGTTTCCTTCTATTTTGGTTAGCGCTCCACGCAGCGGACCCGCTTTGGCGGAGTACGTCTAATGCGTGGAGGAGGAGCCTTTTCTTTGGAGGCCCTAAATATATATATTCACATATATATATGTATATGTATACATATATATATATGCTGGAGGATCCTCTTTACTACTTAACAGAGAAACCTCTGCGCAGGTGGGAAGGTCAATGAGTTCCCTTCTTGGTTATATACAACGGGGTTCCCTTGTCCTCCACTGCTACGAAGCGACATAATCGCGTTGGTCACTTTGCGTCACGAAATGAGTAGGGTTAAGCGAAACCTTTGGCCTCGCACCACACAGGAGTGAAACTGCGCAAAACGGTTGTGCATCTGTGGGTCGGTGTAAAATGCATTTGAGTATCCTCCCCATCAAAAAAATGACCCCCTTTTTGCAACTGTGCGTTAATTGGTAGGGTTACAAAAGTTAGGGGGAAAAATAAAAAAAAAATACACCTAAAAATTAATGCAAATATGAATCCAAATATGGAACCCTGAAGTGTACACCCCTACGATGGTAACTTAGGGGCTTTTACATAAACATGCTCTCTTGGGTAGCTACGTGCAAATCTTCGTGCTGCCTTTTACCTTTTTTCCCTTTTGCGCATGTAGGGGGAAGTTGCACTGGAGGTATCGCAGAGATTGGAGCCTTTCCCTACGTGTAAGCAATGTGCCCACGGAGAAAAAGTGTTAACTGGTTTGTTGCTACTGTACCCTCTAAATAAATCATTTATACACAGGTGTAGTGCACATGAGGAAGTTTGCATGAAAAAGGCGACTCGCTTTTAAGGAGAGTTGTGTGGGCATTCTCCTATCGGGTGATATCAACCCAAGTTAGGGGCGGAAGCAACTCCTTTGTGCATTTGATATACCTGGCCCCAGTGCAGGCTCGGAAAAAAAAAAAAAAAAGCACCCCGTACCGTTTTTGCCCTGTTTTTTACTGCCCGTGCGCTTTACGGTTCTGAGCCATCATGCCGGGAAAAACGTGGCCGGTATTTCGCGTGTGGGGAACTGTTACATCCGCCTTATTGTGTGGTTCGGTTAGGCCTACTTAGTTTGGCTTACTTGGTCAGGCATATTTGGTTAGGGCTACCATATTTTGGTATTCCTGTTTTCGCGTCGAAATTGTGCCAGCGCGGTCTCGAATTTTGTGTATTGCCCCCACAGAGGAGCCACCGACACCGCGACGCATGAAGTCACACCTGTTAGAGACGTGCTTCTCCTAGGCGGGTCCCACGGGTGTGCGCCCACTGGCCCGTTCAGAGTTCCATTTAGCGGTGCCTTCTGGGTCACTTTTTAAGATACACGCCTTTTTGCTGCTCCCTGCTAATGTCCCCTACTAGAGGGTGCTCCTGAGGAAAATTCCCCATAGCGTCACAACACATGCTTTTCGAGCAACCGTTTTTTTTTTTTTTTTTTGCCACACGAGCTATACAACTCGAACACGATCTGCCCCCCTTTTCTAAAGGTGGTCAAACAGCATGTAGATGCATCGTTCGTGGAAAGAACAAGAGAAGGCATATTACCCCATTCTGTTGAATGTATTTGTGGAAAAAAAAAAGAAAAAAAAAGAAAAAAAAACGAACTTGGAGTTACAAGTGGTATGATTAAACACACATACATATGGATACGTAAGCATGTGCATGTTTGTTTGTAAAACTAGGTGCGACCTAACTAGTCGATTTGTTTACTAGAATGATTAAACGCGGGGACCCGTCGCGCTCCAAGTTTGAGTACAAGTACTTGCTTTACGCCTTGTCGTTTGTGTCGCTGAACGTGGGTAAGGAACAGTGGCCGTCTGTTATGAGGAAGCCTCGCGTGTGGGGGTGGCCGATGTGTCGAATGAGCTGAGCACTGGAAAGGGTGCGCATCTGCGCTCAGCCGTTTTAGCCTCCCGGAGACGCATGCAGTCGGTTAAGACACCGCTCTCGCGAGTGCCCGTTGTGCGACTACCATTTTGCGATTGCCATTTTGCTACTTCCCCCTCGTAGGAATTTGCAATGAGTATATTAAACGGAAAAAGGAAAAGTACAAAAATGAGGAGCAGAAAATCTACTTCCACCTGACGGAGAAGAACTTTGAATTTATCGATAAAAAAAAATATGCGAGCCGAATCGAAAAGGTATGCGCAAATTTCAACTTGCCCCTTTTGGCCATTTCTGGGGCAGCAAATAATTACTACCCTGTGGACTACCACTTGCAATATTTGAATAATCTGTTTGAAGGGAAAAAAGGCGATTTAAGAAAGTTGATCGAAAATGGGAATAAAAAGAAAGTAGAAGGAAACAAACATGTAGACGCAATATTGGAGGATGTGATAAAGTTTATGGAGGCCCAGTGTGCAGTGGCGGATCAGGAAGGGGAAGAGGTGTATTCTTCGCCCGTAGTGCAATCCTTTTTGGGGAACCTGAATTGGGCGCACTTGAAGGAATTCATTTTGGAGCGTAACAGGGTTAAGGTTAAATCGGTCGGAGAATTTGTGGACACCCTGATCGATGAGCTATATGCATATGCGTATATCTACCTTCTAGTGAATTACAAGAGAAACAACTTTTTCGACTTTGTGAGGAGGAAGCGGTCTTACAGGCACTGCAGTGAAAATGTGGGTAAGGATCTGGGCTTGGAGCTAAGCAGCTACTTGGGGCTCGGCCACGGTAGTGCAGAAGCAGCGGTAAATGTGACTGACGCTGCTACTCAAGGCGAGCCCGTCCTAGAACCTGCCCAGTACGTCCTGAACATCGACACGGTGAAAGAAATACAGACCAGCTTGGCCACCTACGGAGTAGTGGTTTTGAAAAACTACCTTAGAAAAGTAGACATGGAGAAAATAAAAAAAGATTTATTTCTTGACAAGAAGGAAATTAACGTATCGCCGCTTCTCATGGATAAGGACAATAACATTTTCTGCATACGACCCACACGGGGAAGGCAGTATTGCATACTACGAAACAGCAAAGTTAGTGACCTGTTCACAAATTTGCAACAGTACTGGATGAACATCATTTATGCTTATTTACCAATTGGGAGGTATCAGAATGTGTACGACTTGATGGAAAAAAATTCCATTTTGAAAATGGATGATTTTAAAAGTGTAAATGTATCGAGTGACAGGAATGATAAAATATTTTTATCTGAATTGCAATTGGTGAACAACGAGCCTTTGAGCGAAATTCAGTCACACCATGTGGACAATGGGTTAAGTGGGGTAAGCGTTATTTTGCCTCTAAATAAGATAAACGAGGAGTCAGGGAACTTTGAGTTTTTTCTCGGAACACATTTATTTACGTCCATAAAAATGAAAACAATGAAGGAAAAAATTCACAATTTTAAGAAATTTTTACAAATATATTACCAAACAGGGTCATCCTTCATTCCTGATGTGAATCCACAAGACGTCATCATTTATGACTCCAAGATTTTGCATAGGGGATTATCAAACAATTTGTGGGTTAAGAATTCTTCCCTAATTTATCGCTATGATTATCAAAAGTATCCTCCCCCTGGGCAGGACTTTATTGACATTTGCTCGTACAACTTTATTGGGAAATGCATTTCGATGTTTAATTTTTTTGGTAAGTATCTCTAATGGGGGTAGGGGTTCCATTTGCACCGAATTGGAAGGAACGAAGTGAGGAGATAGAGAAGCAGTCGACGGGTGACGAATTTTTTTTTTTTATGTACATCTAGTTGCATTCGATATGCACATATATACACATTTATACCTTCAGGGTGTCATCCCTAACAGGTTCATGTTAAACCTCACCCCCACTACGTATGTCACGTTCCGTAGTTTATTTGCTTCCCAACGGGATTGGCCGTGATAAAAAAACGGTGTGCTTCACCTGCCTTTTTTTTTCCCCCATTTTGGGAAGGAACCCCAACTATGTAGACGTACACCCCTAGGTATAGTCTCCCCTTATGCGATGCTCTGTGGGATGCTCTCAATTTCGCAGTTACGCTACTCCGCATTGGTGCAACACTTTGCTTTTCCCCTCACACGTTCACATATTTTTCTTAAGAGGTGTAAACTGCACTCCTTTTCTACATTTAAAAGGAGCGAAACACATAGAACAGTAGGCCTTTAACAATGGGCAAAAATGGATAGACCAGTTTACTTGTTCTTGTGCAATTCTTAAAGGGAGCAATTATTCTTTCCATTTCGAGGGGGTAAAAATTAGCTAATATTGGCCAACTGAATTTGAATGTGCCTCCTTTGAAATATTAACGCAAAGCGCTTTGCGTGAATTGCAAAATGAAGCAAAAATTATATGTTTAGGGGGGGAAAAAAAATATATGGGAATAGGGGTAGGGGGTATTGCCCGTTGACAATTTTTGCCCATGGCAGGAAAACCCTCCCTTGCGCGCCCCGTCACATTTTATGAAATGAGGAAGAAAAAAGCGGAGGCGTGTTTCCTTCAATTCTGGAAAAAGGAAAATGCCCATTTTGAAGACAGCACGAACAATTACGGGAAAGATGTAAAAAAAGTATAAAATGAGCAAAACAAATACAACACCAAAATGGATTATCCTCCTATACTTTTTGGGGGGGAAGGAAAAAAGGGGGAACTGCATTAATTTGTTCCCTTTTTTTCTATTGCATACATAATCCTCGCGGCAACGCCTTGTGGGCATGACAAGCTCGCCCGCCGTGCGTTTATATAAAGTAAAATTGCGAAGCCCCAATGGTGGGGAAAAAAAAAACTCTAAATATATATAATGCAATAAGAACACCCCCCCCGCAGTTACAATATCTACCCCCTGCGCATCGAACCGAATACGATCCATGCGAGGTGCCGCAGAGTACGGAAAATTCGCGTATGCACGCAATGCGGAGCTCAATAAAAAGTGCACGCATGTGGCTGCATATAATATTGTATCTACTATATATATAAACATTACTTATCGGGAAAAAAAAAAAGTAGCAATTGGAAAAAACAGCAACTTTAAAATAACGGCAACTTTAAAAAAAAAATAGCAACTTAAAAAAAAAAAAAAAAAATTAAGCCAGAAACAAAAGAAACAAAGTGGAATGCTAATTTGTAGTAGTTCATACCGCTTTGAGGAGCAACATTCTTGTAGCATAAAAACGAAGGGAATTTTTAAAAAATTTCGCTTAAGAGAAGCTACATTTTAACTGTCGTGTGGATATTTCCATTTGATAAAATTCAGTATCTTTGTTTTGCGACGCCCAACGGACTACAAAAATGGTGAAAGGTACTAGAAAGAGGAAATCGCATTGTATGCGCGAGCACGTATATTATTGATCGTTTGTGCTGAAATGGAGGAAGCCATTGCAGGAATGCTAAAATGAGGGGAAAAAATAGAAAAGCACAAGCGAGAAAGGCAGAAAAGAAATTATGTGGTCCTCCTCCGAAGCGACGCGCTTATGAATTTAAAAAGAGCTTCGTAGCATTGAAACAAAACTGCGAGGAAGCCAAGCACAACTGAGCGAACCCCGGGCGACGGAATCAGAGTTCCCCGAAATGAGTATTGCATGAGTGAAGAGTAACAGAATTAACCCCGCATATAGTACAGTATAATATAATATAACGTAATATCGATGCACTTTTTTTTCTACCCCCTCCGCGCAGCTGTCAAGAAGCAGAAGAAAACGCTTAAACCAGTGACGAAAGTCATCACCATAAATCTGAGCAAGTTGACGCACGATGTGTGCTACAAAAGAAAGGCCCCAAGAGCCATCAAGGAGATAAGGAACATTGCAGGAAAACTCATGCACACAAAGGTATGCATGCGTCGCCGCCTTGATCAGGCGCCTTTGCATTTGCCCTTATGTTGTTACTTCGTTGGAAAACCTGTGTGAAGCTTTGCCTGCAAATGTGTCAACACGGGTTTATACGTACATTTAGTTAGGGTTGTACACGAATATGTATGCGTATGCGTTATATGTGTATTCTTGCGCTAATGACTTTCCATCATTTCCCCCTCAATTACTGCAGGATGTACGTTTGGACGTTAAACTGAACAAGTTCATATGGTCCAAGGGCATCAGGAACCCACCCAAGAGAGTTCGCGTAAAAATAGAAAGAAAGAGAAACGAAGATGAGGACTCCAAGGAGAAAATGTACACAATCGTTCAACATGTCATGGTTGACACCTACAAGGGATTACTTAACGAATGCGAAGTGAATGAGTGATTGGGTTAAACTGGTAAAAGTGAATTAAACCAAGATTCCAGGCATAACATAATTCGATAATGTGCAACTCAACATGTGTGTTACGTGTGGTGCCTACGTTTGTGTGGGCGCGGGAATTCGTTTCCGTCTTGGCTCACCGCGGCGTATCGCTCCATCGCGTCACTACTTCGTGGTTTCGTCTCTTCAGCACATCTTCACTTCATCGTTGCATATAATTTCACAGCCTTGCCATTTTATTTAAAATTTTTTAATTTTTTTTTTTTTTTATTAACGCGTAAAAGGAACTAAACTTACCAGTTGGCCTCTTCTTTAGCACATTTCGTAGTCACGATTTTAACTTAAAAATATGAGGAAAATATTTTCGAATGGTTTTAAGCCTGAACAGGTAGCCAAAATGGTTATCTCCCAGGAAAAAAAAAAAAAAAAAAAAAAAAAACTTCACTGGCTAGCACCAATTAAGTGTAACATTTTGGCAATTTCAGGTGGTCTATAACGTAGTTTTTTTTTTCGTTCTGCATTATTGCAGTAGCAGTAAATAGGTACGAATTGAGCGCAATTTTTACTCTCCCAATTTGTGTTCCTCAATAGGTACATAAACGCATAAACAGAACTGTTTTATTTCACTTTGTGTGACAACTGCTTTTTTTTTTTTTTTTTATTCTGAAAAAGCTGTTCATACAAAAAAAAAAAAAAATGTGCACACAAAAAGGTACAAGGGAAAAATGAGGTTTTTTTTTTTTTTTTTTTTTACAACACAAGTGGTTGCCTGTTAATTGCACCTGTTCTCTTTCTTTCTTTTTTTTTTTTTTTTTGTTCTGTTCTGCAAAATATATGTAGAGGCGTTTTTTTTTTTTTTTTCGAAACTTATTTTTTTTCACATTATTGTATAATTTTGGAAAGGAAAAAATATTGACCCACTACAAATATATTACATACATATATGTGTCGTATGTAGAGCAGGTGGCACGAATTTACGTGAGAGTAAGAAAAAGGCAACAGAACGGAGACACGGAAAGCATAGGAAGATGCACACTTATGCTGTTTGGAAATTTTAAGAAACTTTTTTTTTTAAAAGCCCAAAGGAAGGTATGCAATTCTTCCATCTCGTCCACATTATTTACCTTAAATTTTAGAAAAAATATAAAAAGAAGTAGCATGCGCGACTTGCATGTACCTACTTATACACACTTTATAATATGAAGTAAAAAAAAAAATATATATATATACGAAAAAGGAAAAACTAAACAGGTAGAACTCGACAATTTGATCTTAAGAACGATGAATAAAGATAGCGAACTAAGTAACTACTTCAGGATTAATAGCGATTTCGTGAATAAAATTGAAAATGAAATCGAAAAGTTTTATGTGTGGACATACAAAAGTCCAAATGCGGACCGCTACCCCGATGTTGTTTTTTTTAAATGCTTAGTTCTTAGCGTCGATGGAGACAATTATAGAGTGAAGGAAATTTGCCCAGAGACGAACAGCGAGTATGTAGTGAAAAAAGAGTATTTGTTTAATTGTAATAATATGGTGAATGTAAATAGTCATAGGTTAAACGATCTGCTGCATCAAAATTCGGCAGAGGTTTTAAACACCTTGGCCATGAGGTATGAACAGAATTTTATCTACACTATAGCCGAGCCAATGTTAATTTCGATAAACCCATACCAAATTATTGATGTTAATATGGATGATTACAAAACTAGGAATTCGGATGAACTTCCTCCGCATGTCTACACGTATGCGAAGGATGCAATGCTTGATTTTATAAATACTAAGAATTGTCAATCCATTATTATAAGCGGGGAAAGTGGGTCTGGTAAAACGGAGGCCTCCAAGCTGATTATTAAGTTTTACCTTTCTGGGGTTAAGCAGGACAACAATATATCGAAAACGTTGTGGGACTCCAACTTTATACTAGAGGTACTGGCTCGGCTGTGAGTGGGCGCTCGTGCATATGTACATATATATGCGTCTATGTGTGTACTCCTTTACCCACTAGTTGACCGAAGCGGAGTTACAACCCACTGCGCCATCTTCAGCATTGTGTGTTTTTTTCCCCCTCACCTCCATTTACTGCCCACATGTAGGCCTTCGGAAACGCCAAAACTATAAAGAATAACAATTCCAGCAGATACGGAAAGTACATTAAAATTGAAATGGACGGAAACCAGAACATTGTCTCCTCTTGCATTGAAATTTTTCTCTTGGAAAAGATAAGAGTCGTGTCACAGGTAAGTCTTTTTTTTTTTTTTTTTTTTTCTTCGGGGGGGAGAGAAAGACTGTAGAGGGATCAAAAATCGGGATGATATGGTGAAGTGCATTTCCGAAGCTGTGCGATTTGTTTGGTATCTATTTGGTTACTGCATTCCTTTGTAGATTTGTTTACATGATTATATGTTTCCACCTTTTCAACTTGTTTAAGGAGCAAGATGAAAGAAGCTACCACATTTTTTACCAAATCCTCCAAGGGATGAGTAAGGAGATGAAGAAAAAGTACAACATTAAATCTGAATCGGAGTACAAGTACATTTCTAACAAGTCCATTACCATACCGGGTGGGTGCAAAAGGGGAGAGAAAAAAAAAGGAGAGTAGCAAAAGAGAGTAAAAACATTAACGAAAATGTATGGTCAGAATGGTGGTGACTAACAGCGCATCTTAGTATAGTTTGTCCTTATGGTTGCTACCCTATTTATCACCTACCACCATTTACCTTCACAGAAATTGATGACGCCAAAGATTTTGAGAATTTAATGACTTCCATGGACAAAATGAATATGTCTACTTTGAAGGACGATCTGTTCCTGACCCTATCAGGTAGAAATGTGCAACTGTGTTGGTGTGTCTCCACCTGCTTCAATTTGATGAACATGTTAATGTGTGCAAATTGTACATCTGCACATGTAACCACCTTTTTTTTATGTTAACAAAAATTTTTTTTTTTGGGGGGCGGTTCCGCTGTTTTTTCCATTCTTCGCGTAGGAATAATGCTATTGGGAAATATTGAATTTAACGAAATTGAGAAGGGCGGGAAAACAAATTGTAGCGAGCTGAGTGAAGAAAATTTAAAGGTTGTTCAGGAGACAAGTGACTTGTTAGGCATCGACTACGCCAGCTTGAGCAACAATTTAACATTCACAGAAAAGAATATTGCAAACCAGAGGATAGAAATCCCGCTATCTGTTGAAGAGTCCTTATCCATTTGTCGATCCATTTCGAAGGACATATACAATAAAATATTTGAGTATATCACGAAGAAGATAAATGCGTTTTTAAACAATAATAAGGAGTTGGATAGCTATATAGGAATACTTGACATTTTTGGTTTCGAAATTTTTCTCAAAAATTCTCTGGAGCAGCTACTCATTAATATAGCCAACGAGGAGATTCACAACATATACTTGTACGTGGTGTATGAGAAGGAGTCCAACCTGTACAAGAGCGAGGGTATCATCGCTGAGTCTGTGAAGTACACAACGAATGAAAGCATCATCGACTTGCTTCGGGGGAAGACGAGTGTGATCTCCATTTTGGAGGACTCATGCCTGGGCCCAGGAAAGAAAGACGAGGTGGGACTCGCGCAAGCGTACAACGTGTGTGGATGCGCATATGTGGACGGACGGGGGCACGTTTGCATTTGTGCCCCTGGTTCGATACATTCCACAGCTTTTTTTGAAGCATTTTCCCCCTACATCACTGTGTCTTTACTCTGTCCACTTTTTCTCTGCTTCCCTTCCTCCCCCCTTTTTCTTCACTCAGTCCATCGTGGGAGTTTACACGAACAAGTTCGCTAAGCACCCGCATTACGCCACATGCAAAAGGGACATGAACCGGAGCTTCATCATTAAGCACACCGTTAGCGACGTTACCTACAACATTTCAAACTTCATTTCGAAGAATAAAGATATTTTGTCGCCCAACGTCTTGAGGATGCTGAAGGTTAGGGACCCTTTTTCGCAGCGCAGTGCAGCGGAGAGCAGCCAATTGGACGGCACCAATTTGTCCACTAATATATGAGCAAAGTGGAAGTAGCGTGTTGAATAATGACCCTATTTTGTTGCCAATATAAAGTGATGTTATGACGTAATAATAGTGCCTGATTATCTCCCACTCTATCCCCCCTTCTGTTGTTTTTGTAGGACTCCAAGAACAACCTATTAAGAAGCTTGTACGAAGAGGTAGAAGTAACAGACTCCTTGGGAAGAAAAAACTTAATCACATTTAAATATTTGGAAAATCTGAAAAAAATCAGCTCCTATTTGAAAAACACAAATATATATTTTATAAAATGCATTAAGCCAAATGAAAATAAAGAGAAGAATAATTTCAATCAGAGGAAAGTTTTCCCTCAATTATTTTCCTTGTCCATTGTTGAAACTTTGAATATAAAATATTTTTTTCAGTATAAATACACCTTTGCTTCTTTCCTTGGCTATTATCAATACTTGGACTTGTCCACTTCGAATGACAATGGGTTGGACGACAAGGGCAAGGTCTCCAAGATGCTTCAGCGGTACCTGGACCACGATTCATACAAGGTGAGGAGTCGATGTGGGAATATTGGAGTGGAATTGAGGCGTTTTTGTGAAAAGGCAAACGTAACTCCTTGCAGAAGTGTGTGGGATGGTGCTTGACGGTAATTTCCACCTGATCGCATCACTCTCACAATTTCCACCCATCGCTCTTGCCATTCCCCCCACAGATCGGAAACACCATGGTCTTCTTAAAAAAGGAGGCCATCCAGACCATTCGAGAAATAATTTACAACAACCTAAAGAACTACAAAAACCTGTGCAGCATTACCAGCGCGTTGATTACAAAAATTAAGAAGAAGACAACGGTGGACGAAAACATAAAGCATTTGCAGCTAGCTCAGGCGTACTTCAGAAAGCACAAGTACATTGCGCAGTTGTAGTAGGGTTTACCCGTGTTCAGCCCCCCCTCTCGTTGGTGATGTGCAGCTGGTGGGTGTTCCACCACACCGATTTGTAATTTTTTTTTCCGTTCTTTTTTTTTGTTTTTTTTTTTACCTCCTGAGGAATACTTTCCGAGGGTCCATTTGTTTAGGCAAGTTTTTAATTTTTTGAGCCCCCAAATTTTTTTTGTACATTTTTGTTATTCCTTGTCAGCACGCGGTACGCAGCGAGCCGGGTTGAACCTTTTGCACGAGATATGACACGTCGAGTGACTCTTTCTATGCAATATACATTTGATGGTTTCATTTCAAGTTTTTTTTTTTTTTTTTTTTTTGAACGTTCATAGTGTGGGTGATATTCATCAGAATTAGAAATGGTGTTCCGATTTAGGACAGACAAAGTGGTGGCTACTTGGATATGGTCGGCATATTTTTTGCCTCACCATTTTTGGACTTCAATTGGGTGTGTCATAAAAAAATTGTCATGATATTGTTAACTCATTTAAGACGCAACGTGTGGGAGATCGGGTGGAGGCTTAACCATTCTTTCCTTTTCCATCTGATAGTCTTTTCCCTGTTTTCCCCAGCATCGGGAAAAAATCATATGCCCAAATGATGAGCCTTCTGGGGGAAGCATACACACATAAACGTGCATGCGCATGGGGCGGGAACTGCGCCACACAGATATTTGCAAAAAAGTTAGCCCATGAGAAGGGGCGTGCTCCAAGTGGGGAAACGTGTACGCGAGAGGTTTTTTGAGGGGAATGGGAGATTTTACCTGCTTAGAGGGGGTACACTCAAAAATGGAAACCGAAAAGGAAGCAGCACAAAATGTACATATTGATGGTCAATTTTTTTGGAGTGACTCATTTTTCCCCCTCGCAACTCGCGATCATGCCCATATTGGGAAAAAGGAGTTGGAAATTTTGTTGCACACACGAGGCATGATCGCCGAGTGCGATACTTTTTTCACCTTTTCACGGACTCGTTTGAGCATTTTAGGGACACTTTTCCGCATTTTTGTGCGTTTTTTGGCTCCCGGTCCCGATTAGCTTTTGGCCGCTTAAAATGACAAAATGGTGAATGGTTCCTTGGGGAGTGGGGACTGAACGATTGGTTTAATCTTTCTCCTATGTAAGGCTATATATAGAAGCGCTGCGCGAGCTGCGCTGTGGTTTGTTTTTCAGCTTATGCGTTTGTATAAGTTGGAAACCATTTGGGAAACGTCTAAGTGGGGAAAGGCGTTCGGTGTGAGGGAGGTCCACGTGGATAGGACTTCAACCCGAACGAATTGTCCACTCGCTATTCGCTTCGTGAAGGTGAAGGGTGGGTAAGTGAGCAGAAGGGAATGAGAAGTACCGAGGTGGACGCCTCTTCTTCCCCCTCCCCCGCTACATTACCGCACAGCAGAATTAGCCAGTGAAGACAATGCTGCAGTACTTCGTGGACAAGCTGTTCGGCGACCTCCCAGCCAATTTCAACTTTGTGATAGGGAAAAGGTTAGAGTGCCAGAGTCCCCAAAACGGGGGGTACTACGAAATTTACGAAGGAGTAAACAAAAACAATGAAGGGGTATGTATATTTATATATGATAAGAAAGGAAAAGAAGGGAGTAGGGAGAAAAGATACACAAGTAACCATTTGTCTTTTTCCAAAAAATTAATTCACCCAAATATTTTGAAAGTCCTATATACATACGAGAGTGATAAGAGGATCTACATAGTAACAGAAAAATGTGTTCCATTGCATGTTGAGGGGGTAAAAAGTGACCCCTTATGGGGTTTATATGAAATATTTAGCGCGGTGTCTTTTGTCAGCATGTGTAATTATGTGCACTGTTTGGTGAATCCTTTAAGCGTATTTGTAAATGAAAGAGGGAGATGGAAATTGTCCCTTTTTGATTGTATTCATGAGAAAGGTGAAAGTATGTATCAGATTTTGAATGACCTACAGAATCATATAGTTAGTACGTATGGCTATGCAGTTTCCATTCCAACTGGAGTTCATGTTTCATGGGTAGATGCACAAGGCTTGGCATTGCTAATGGTTTGGTCGTATAGAAATTACCTAGAACAAACAAGTCATTTTGGAGATGCTCACGTAGGTGTTCCACCCATTAGGAGTAGTCCCCATGGCAGTGATACAAATGCACCACAGAGAGGACATTATTTAAAAACGCCAATGTTGAGTGCGGAGGGTGCACAAGAATACATACCGAAGAGATTGTTGCCATTGTATAGTACGTTGCTAAAGTATAGTAAGGAAGAAATAAACTTTTCCACCATTTTAAATGATGAGAATCTGAAGACAGACAACACCATAAGTACAATGTTATTTTTGACACAAATACATATGAAGTCGAAGAGCGAAAAGGTGCAATTTTTGGATAACCTATTTAGCAAGCTAGAAAATATCTCATCAAGTGTAAAAACGGAGAAAATTTTACCTGAACTTGTTCAGAATATGGAAGTGTCTGAGAGTAGAGTGACGTGTCTGAAGATCGTCTTAACAATTTCGAGGGAACTATCAACAGAGCACTTTGATAAAATGATATTTCCAATTGTATCAAAATATTTTTCTCTAAACGACAGATCAATCAGGTTTGTTTTGTTGGAAAATTTCCATCACATAGAGAGTCACCTTACCAGTAACCACATGAACGAAATATATAATTCGTACCTGTATGGATTTTTGGATAATAATGCGTCCATAAAAAATGAGAGTATAAAAAATTTCATTTATGTGTTTCCAAAATTGAAGTCAAATTTTAAATCGTCTTCTTTGATAGCCTTGTTGGATAATTTGAGAGACTCTGATTTTTGCGTTAAGACAAATACGATAATTTGTGTAGCAAAAATTGCGAAACATATTTTGGATGATAAAGAGAAAATACTTGAAAATGTTTACAAGATTGGATTACAGGATTCGTTTGTTCAAACTAGGTTAGTGACTATTCAGGCTATTAAATTTACATATGACCAGTTCAGTGCGAAGAAGTATGCTTCGAATATTTTGCCGCTCCTGGTTAGGTGCCTCATTGACGATTCAGTGGAGGTGCGTCTCGCAGCGTTTGACGCGATGGACTCCGTTTGTGCGCAACTGAGGGGTGATTTGGTGGGGGGTAATACTTGTAGTAGCCATAGGAGTTCACCGATACCCAGTGGTATGTCAAATGGGAACGACGCTACTTCCACTTCTCCAGTGGACTCCCTAAAAGGTTACACTTTTATAAACAAGATAAAGGGAATTGTCTCCGCAAAGGGGGAACTGGATGCTGGAAGCGGGTCGCGGGTTACTCAGGAGGGAGGTCCCATTTTGGGGGACTTGTCCGGGAGAGCTGTCCAAACGGGTGCGACCGAGAGCAATCTACTTAGCACCTTGGTTTATGACGTGCCCCCCGTCGGTGGTGCACTGGGCGCCACAGGAGGTAGAGATTACGTTAATGTGAATTCCCAAACCGGGGTGTATAACAGCGGGGAGAAGCACTTGGACGCATTCCAGCATCAGAGTTACAACCAAAAAGACAACTTCCTTTGGGGGGAGGAAATTAAAAATTACCCCGACAGAGGAAATGGGTGGGTAGCTGGTGGGATGGACAACCTTTATGGTGGTGGCGATACGCCTTGCGAAGCAGACAGAGGTGGCCACTACGAACAGGGCAACCGTGGCAACTACGAGTTGGCAAATATGAACAGGTCCGGTGAAACCAACCAAGAGGGTAGCCTTTTTGACGATAACTTCCATTTGGGTCAGTCCACCAAAAAAACGGCCCAAAAAATTGACCTTGACATAGATGAATTTTTTAAGGAGTTGGACTTGAAAGAGGATAGCAGTGCCAAGGTGAACTTGAGTTTGTTGTAGAGGTTAGGTGGGACTTGGGGCCCGCCACGCTACTATTGTTTTTTTGTTTTGATAATTTGGCGACTTGCCTTTTTTGAGTCCATCCTCGTTTGCACATCTCTCCCCAGATGTTAACTTTGTCTTTGATTTTTTTTTTTTTTTTTTTTTCCGTTTCGTATCATGGCTAAATTTTGCAAAAGCAATTTTGAACATTTTTACGGTACGGTTGTTATTAATCATGTGGGTAAAACTTCCTCCTTTTGAGTGAGCATTTTTTGTGTATGACCATTTTGTGAATGCAAGAGGAACGTGCAAAATGGATAGGCGTGGAGGAAGAAGCATGTGTGGGGTAGTTTATTCGGCCCAATCTTGGGGCACCCCTATTTTTCAATCACTCACGGGCGAAATTCGCTTAGGAGGAAAATTTGCCACTTTGAGGTTCTTCCATTTCAACATCTATGAAAATTTTAAAAGGAGAGAAACATGGGTTTACATTATCTTTTATAATTGTGCTTAAATTGCAGAGGAGAAAAATAAAGAAGTAAAAAAAAAAAAAAAAAAGGAGAAAAGAAACACCTTTTGTAGACACGTGCACATATATAGGCAAAAAGAGAGAGAAAAAAAAAAAAAAAAAAAAAAAAAAAAAAAAAACAGTTCGCTGGTGACATTTAACTCCTGGCAACAACGCTTCCGTGGGCAAGCATATGCGCGCTAGCACATATAAAAATATATGCACACATGCACAGAACACATGTGCATATACTTTGTTGCCATGTTTGTGTGTGCATTTACAATTAAATGCACAGGGGAAGTGAGGATGGGGCTTTCGTTCTGGTTTGTTTGTTCGTTCAAAATGGTGCGTCTTATGGTGCGTTTGAGGTTGAGCTTTGCGCTGAAGACTTGTCCGCGCTTACGCCCGTGCGATGCAGGCATTCATGTCAAATGACGCCCGGCTCAGCTATTCATTTTCCGCAGCAGGGGACAAGAATTACGAATGTATACGTGCAAGGGACTACGCACATACACATGTATATGCGTGCACACGTTAAATGCTATTGCATTCCCCTTGGCACTATACAACCATCTCACCACTTGGTTACTCATTTATGTCATCCGCTCGGATTCATTAGGACATATTTTAGGGGACATTTTCACTTGGTTAATTTTACGTTCAATTTAAATATTTCATGATGATAATTTCGTGCACACCAGAGGACAAGATATCACATTTTTTTTTTTTTTTTTTTTTTTGAGTTAAGCTGTCAATCGAAATGGTTCATTCTGGTTAGGGTAAAAGACAAGTGCATCCATGTGCTCCTGTGCGTGTATTCATTTGCTTATGAATGCAATGGTATTTTTCTTTAAAAAAAAAAAAAAATTTACTTAAAATCGGCGACATCTTGGGCGCTTTCTATAACGGATGTGAGCACATTCACTCCTTCGATTTTTTTCAGTAGGGCTTGTTTGCTGGAGGCATAGGTCATCCTGTCCCTGGAGTTTGAGGATTCCCTTGCGTACATGAAGAAGTGAATCTTGTTTACTGCGTGAGGGGAAAATTGGGGGCAAACGAAAGGGTAAGCAGGTGTGTGGATATGGGAGAATGGTGTGACATATGGAGATGGTCACGTGTGATGGGCAATTTGATGAGCAGCTTGCTTGACGGTGTATGGAAGGTCTTATGACCCCAACGTCGCGGCAAGGCTTCCTAACCTGCGTCAAACACAACATAGGCGCACTGGATTTTATCATTTTGGTCGATGGACTTCACTAGCTCGCTCAGGGTGGTGGTAGCACCTTTCGAGTGAATAATTATTTCGCAGTTCTCTATGACGAATATGATCCATCGACAGGTCTTCCTAATTTTCATGTTGTTAAACTCGGTGATGCAGGTGTCGTTTACGCGAATGCCGCTTATCATTTTGGACGCACGGGAAAGAAGAAATGGGCAAAAAAAAAAAGGAAAACAGTTGGGTGTGGGGGGCAAAAAGGGAAAATGAAGGAAAAAGCTATGAACGAAATCTAAGCAGAAAGTTTTCAAATTTTTTAATTTTCTCAAAATTTCAAAATTTTGAAGATTTTAATTTTTTCACAATTTTCACAATTTCAAAATTTAAGGTTTCACGAATGGGAAATTTCACAAGTTGCAATTTCAGGAAAGGGGGAACTGAGGCCTTAAAAATTTCACAAATTGAAATTCTTTCAAAATTGAAAAGTTAGGGAAGGAAAAAAAAAGTTACCTGGCCTTGACTGATGAACGCGTATAGTTATTTCTTTTATTGGTGCAGCAATATTTCGTTTGCTTATTGGTTTTACTTGTTCATTTTGCGCGTTTCGTTTTTCCTTTTTAACATTTTATGAGGGAAGCAAAAAAAAAAAAAAAAAATTAAACTCAAAAAAAAAAAGAAAAAAAAAATTAATTGCGATTGGAGGGGTGTATATGTGTGATAAACATTACCGCTTTGTGTTTACAGGGGTGTGGAATTTGTGTATGTACTTGTGGGTTAATTTGTATTTGACCTTACGCATGAATTTCATGCGAATGTGCCCATGTGTTAGCTTGTAAGTGCTAATGGGGGTGACTTGGTTATTGTGGAAAGTGCGCGCTGCCATGTGTATATACGAGGCACAGGAGGAGCATTTTTTTTTTTTTTTTTCACTTCCTTCTGCACATATGCGGGTGGATTTGTGCACGTGTGCTTGACACGCATACGCACGCCGCGCACGGGCATAAGCGGAGGCGAACAGGTGGCTAAGGAGCTGACAAAATTAACGCATATGTGTTATAATCACGTCGAACTTGCGCCTTGCGTACACACCCCCTTGTGTGTACAAAAATTGGGAAAGCCACTTTGAGCGCATCCTTCGGTAAGTTTTTTTTGTTTTTTTTTTTTTTTTGAGAAATATTTGCTATGGGGCGTGAATTAAGAAAGGCTAGTTGCATTTAATGTGGGAATGTGGAAGTTCGGTTGGCAGTTTACGCTTCTGTTTTGCGCAGCCTTTTGGGTGGCTTTTCTGCGTAACAATTTGGGCAATCGATCGGATGAGCTGTCGCAGCACCCCTGCAGCGAAGGCCACCGCCATGTGTAAATTACGCATGGGATGTTAAAAAAGAAGAACAACGAAAGAGGAAGGAGGAAAATAAAAAAAAAAAAAAAATACAAAGTAGAAGGCGGCTGCCCAGACGTTCCTCCAAGCGCTTGTACGCACAATCTCACAATTATGGCCTCCAAAAAAAAAAAAAAAACAGTTACCCAGTTGGAACAACATAACGAAAAACTTTTCTTTTCCCCCAAACCTGAATGCTCCACGCAGTTCATCATTAATCTTTTTTGTCACACGCGCGGTCAAGGGTGTGGGGGAAAAAAGGACGCCACGTGCATTTTGAACGCACCCGGGGGCGCATTTCGCCAAAACAGGTTCCGTAAAAGATGCACATAAAGTACGCACATGTACAAACGTATGCATATGTGCACATTTATGGCTGCACAAGAGGGGGCAAGGCAAATTTTGCATTTCCCTCCTGAACGAAGTCATTTTGTAAACAGACGACCTGTAAGCAAACACCGTCGTGTATGATAAAACAACGCTGTATGTATATTCTACACGTACAATATATATTTTTAGCATCATCAGTATGGAAATTTTGTTCGTTATGCGGAAAAGCGCTTTTTTAAAAAAAGAACAAAAAACGTGTTGTCCTCCTTTCTCATTAAGGTGCGCAGCCTGCCAGGGGTATCCCCCAGATAACAGTTTGCGGAAATGAAGAATTGCCCTCAGCGCTTTTGCAATTTTGTCATCTTGCCTTTTGTGGGAGTTCACTTTTTGACCATAACCCTGCTGTGCACTTCTTTAGTTGTTTCGTACGCTCTGTGGTTACTACCCGGTAAACTGTCTCCGTTTCGTGCAAAGTTTGTACGTTTGCCAAGTCAGCTAACCGGAGTTAAATCTCGCGGGTGAAACAAATGGCATGCATGTGTAAAATGCCCCCATTGTGTTAAAACGAGTTCACCGTCTGTGCATTGTTACACATGCAAGTCATTTTGAAGTAAACAAATGATAAGGAAAAAAAAAAAAATAATAACAATAATAATACTGCCCCCGAGGAGCCACAAAGACGAACACCTCTCACACCTCTTTGTGATGATTGTCTGTAGCACGACCTTTTGCAAAAGCTTAATTTTGTCCTGCGCACAGTAGGCCTGCCTCACTTTGCTATCATCGCTGCTGATGCAGGGGTGGTATGTTACATGAATGTCAAATTGAGAAGTGCTTCACAAAAGCATACCACTTAACTATCAGGGGTGGTAGTATGTGCGAGGAGGACAAGTTGGAACTTGGTCAAGGTTATTTTGTCCCCCTCTAAGATGGACCTTAAATTGCATACACAGGGCAGGGAAATGTGCAGGAGGCACGCCTACGTATTTTATGTACCTGTTAAAAGGCATGCGCGTAAGCACACAAGATGAATTTTGCATTTTTTAAAGTTTCCCTTATTTTTCAATTGCTTTGGCGAATAATAAAACAAAATGGGAAAGGAAAAAGGAAGCCTATAGGTGAAACGTTTTTTCATGGCCGAGACAAAATGGGGTGGTCCCCCCATGTTGATGTTGTTGCCCCTTTGCCACATTGCATCGATGGGCGTATTCCCATATTGTGCGAGTGGCCAAACGGTGAAGTGGGTTCGGTGTACAAAGGTGTACGCAAGGTCTACCGAAAAATTGTATTGGGTATATTTTTCATGTCAAAACTGTGATGAGGAACATAACACAATTGAAAAAAAATGGGAATGAAGTGAGTTACTGAAAATGACACAAGAACTGTGCATTTGATTACGCTTGGGAGAGTGTATTTTTTTTTTTTTTTTAACCTTAAGGGTTTACAAACAAAATTATATTGGTTCAACATTTTAAAGAAAAGTTGCAAAAAAGGGAATAAAATTTTTCTGCGGAAAAAATTGTATGTTCCTATTTTTTGCCTATCCCCCAAGTGGGTATTTAATTATTACAGGAGTTAGCCCCCCG